AATAATTATTTTCCAATGTGGTGCTACCACCATAGGCCTGAAGCCAGTTCCAGGGTGTGTCGGAGCTGATATTAACTAGTTGGGTCTAACCTAGAGAAACCACTTAAGCAGTTTTCTAGCAAATAATGGGGTTAGATTAAACTTCAGAGGTTTCTTTTACTTGCTGACCCATGGTTCTCATACCCGCTCTCTGCTAATCAACTGTTCTGGAGGATAGTTTGTGAAAACATAACCCTTCTGATAAGTTCCCTGCACAAAGTGATGCCTTATGTGTGTTATTTTATTTCAAAATTAAAAGTATATAGATGGTTTCCATTTGAAAAGCTGAAAAATTAGTATAAACATACATGAACTCACCCTCTCCCCCAAAGAAGAGGTGATACTGTTTTGTTGCTTGTTTCTTTCTTTGTTTCTGACACAGGGTTTCTTTGTGTAACAACCCTGGCTATCCTAGAACTCACTCTGTAGACCAGGCCTTGAAATCACAGAGATCCATCTACCTCTGTCTCCTGAGTGCTGAGATCAAAGGTGTGTGCCACCACCAGCTACCAATACTGTTTTGTTGTATGTGCTTTATATTTTTGAAATAAAGTCTAGTATTTATAGTAAATATTAGCCCAGTATTTGCAGTTAAAATTGTATAGACAGACATAAAGGATATCTCATTTAATTCTTGTAACAGTCCCTTGGCATATAACTGTTCCTTATTCTTATTTTATGGATAAGGAAATTAATAATTTGATACATTAACTGACTTAGTCATATACTAGTGAATTTAGAACTGAGGGTGGACTCAATCCTGTGGAGTAGTGCATTCTATCATCAGGTCTTCCTTCCTGGATTGACAGGATAAGCGGTGCACTGTATACTGTGGGGCTGCTCTGTGAATAAGCTGTCTTATTTTAGTTTGAATGCATTTGATACCTTAACAGTAACAGGAAATGGTTCATCTGAATCTGCAGACTCTGTAAGGATCTGAATGGGTCAAGAATGGTCAGGGCGGAAGCCTGCTGTCATCGTGGACTGTGAGACTTTGGTGTATGGGAATTCTTCATACAATGACAAATCCCTGCCTCAACCTCGAAACTTCTTTTGTCTGAACTTTGTCAAAGTTTTCTCTGGGAAAACTGGAATAGGATTTATACTTGATCTCCTGTCTGATTTTACTGCCCTATACTAGCTTATCTGCAAGGATAAATTAACCAGGCAGAGTTTATCACCTATTGAGAGGTAAGGTCTCACTTTGTTCCTCAGGCTGGCCTTGAACTTGTGACCCTCCTTTCTAAGCATTGCAGGTGGGCAGGTGGTAGGATTGCAGGTGTGTGTCGCCATGCTCAGCTCTCCTCCAGTATTTGATATTAGCCTTTCTCATAGTGCGAGGGAATGAGCCAATGTAAATAAGTTGGGGTAGTTTTTAGAAAATACTCTGCTAGAGAATTGTAATGATGATTGGAGCTAAGGGAAGTATCGAATACACAGCCTGGATGTCTTTATGTGCTGTGAAAGACACGGAAGGGTGTGCCCTCCTAGCTCCAGCTGTTGCCACAAGACTTGCGAACAGCTGTTGCCTGTGTATCTTGTCTCATTCTTCCTGTGCATCATCCAGCAAACTCAACTCCTGTACCTCAGGCTTTTGGTATCTCTAAAAGATATCTGAGAGCCAGGTATGGTTATATACTCCTATAATCCTGTCACTTGCTGAGGTAGGAGGATCACTTTGACTTTGAGGCCACCCTGAATCACCTGATGAAACTCTCAAAATGGGGTGTGGTGAGGGCTACTGGAGCAATGGCTCAGTGGTTATGAGTACTTCCTCATCTTCCAGAGGACCCAAGTTTGATTCTCAGCACCCACATAGGGTGGCTGATAACTACCTGTAACTAACTCTTCTGGTCTCTGCTGGCAGTATATCTGTGCTCAAACGGACACAGACACATATACACATAATCATTGAAATTTTTTTTAATATTTATTTATTATGTATACAATATTCTGTCTGTGTGTATGCCTGCAGGCTAGAAGAGGGCACCAGACCCCATTACAGATGGTTGTAAGCCACCATGTGGTTGCTGGGAATTGAACTCAGGACCTTTGGAAAAGCAGGCAAACTCTTAACCTCTGAGCCCTCTCTCCAAGCCCCTCATTGAAAATTTTTTTAATGGTGTTCTTGGGGTAGAGCTACAACACCATGCTAGCACATACATAGCTCACTGTCCGATCTGCAGAAATGCAAAGATACTGGTAATCTTATTATGGAAGTAATGTGTGATTTAGAACTGATCTTGTCAAAAGTGAGATAATAAATATGTCCAAGCAACCCTGTCTTCCAATGTTAAAAACCTTTAAAAGTTAATGAAAGTTTTAGAAAAGGAAATTGTATTTTATTTTAAAATTGTATTACTGGTTCTGGAGAGATGGCTCAGCACTTAAGGGCACTGTCTGCTCCTCCACAGGTTCTATGTTGGATTTGCAGCACCCACATGGTGGCTCACAACCATCTATAGTGGGATCTGATGCCCTCTTCTGGCATGCAGATGTACATGCAAATAGAGCCCTCAATACATAAATAAATAAGTCTTTTTAATCTCAGCACCCAGGAAGGCAAAGGTTGGCTGATCTCTGTGAGTTTAAGGCCAACCTGGTCTACAGAGCAAGTTCCAGGACAGCCAGGGCTACACAGAGAAGCCTTGTCTCAAAACCAGCCTGACTCCTGCTCCTTCCACCAAAAAAGTGTTGGAAATGTTCACTTCTCTCAGTCTTTCAAGTTAAAACACTTTTTGTATTTCAATTACATTCCATTCGCCGAGCTATTCACAAACTTTCCAACTGCACCGTGTCCAGTTGTCCATATAAAAAACAGCAGATTTTATATATTTTTTTTATTTTGAGACAAGGACTTAGGATATAGCCCAGACCAGTCTTGAACTTGTAATCCTCCTGCCTCAGCCTGCCTTCATTCTGGCATAATAGGAATGTTCCACAATATCCAGTTCTTTACAGTTGTTCTTAGTTTTACAGACTGATAGTCTTTCACTAGGTAAGATAATTTTATTGTTATTTTGTACGTGATTGGAATATTAGCCATAATTACACTAATATTATATCATGAATTTGTGCACATTTTGTTTAGCACCCCCCCCTTCTTTTTGGTTGTTTTGTTTTTTGTTTTTCATGATACAGTTTCTCTGTGTAACAGCCCTAACTGTCCTGGAACTCTCTTTGTAGACCAGGCTGGCCTCGAACTCAGAGATCCACCTGCTTCTGCCTCCTGAGTGCTGGGATTAAAGGCACGTGGCACCTGGCTGCTTTTTAGTACTCTTATTAGTATAAATTTAGTGCAAAAGCCCCACAATCCCAGGAGTTCCAGCAGACTATGTTTGGCTATCTGTCTCAGCTTATGGAAGAGACAGAAATGAATGGCAGAGAAAGATTTTTATTAAGGTGGCCACGATGAGAAAAACAGATAAATGGGTTTGCCGATACCAAGTCTGTCTTCGGGAGGCTGAGAGGAACTTTGAGATTTTATAGAAAAGCGAAGTGGGAGAGGCTTGTGGTTTGCGTAGGTGACAGAGCTTGTGATCTGGGTCAGGGCATGGGTCTGATTTCTTATGCTGGTTCAGTTCTGGTTCTGCAAAGGCTTCTAGAGAACTTGTTAGTGATGTCATCACTCTGGGGCAGTGTTTGCCATGAGCTGATTTCTCCAGTGCCAGCGTGCAGCCTCACATTACAAGTAATTGCCCTTGTTTGGGAGGTGATCTGTCCTGCCAGGCTTGCTTTTGCTTGGGAGGAGTTTTGGCTTCTTGTCATAAAGATGTTTACAGAGCAGTCTTGTCATTCCTGGAGTCCAAGAGAACTGCAGAAGGGAGTGAGTTAGCAGGAAAAATGTTTTAAAAAAATGAAAGAGCCAGAAGGCTTATGGTTAGGGACCGGTGCCCTTCATCCTCCTACTTTAGTCTTAAAACGCCTTTCTAAAATTAATACAGAGCCAAAGTTAATTTAAACAGAGCTAACGTTATGATTGGGAAAGTCTGAATGTGTTCTACTTCTACAAATATACTTTAAATGTAGTGTGTGTGTGTGGGGGAACCTCTTCTATTTTTTGTTTAAGGTGCGCGCTTGCGGTGTGTGTGTGTGTGTCAGGGGACATGACAGGAGAGATGGCTCAGCTTTCAAAAGTCCTTGTTGCTCTTCCAGAGGGTCTGGATTTGATTCCCATCATCCACATGGCGGATAACAAACACCTGTAACTTCAGTTTCATGGGATCCGATGCCATCTTCTGTAGCCCGCCCCAACTAGGCACGTACATAGTGCACAGGACATGCATTCAGGCAAAAACACCCACACACTTAAAATTTAAAAACAGACTCCCTAAACCGATGTATAACATATCATATCCAGAATTTGTCGTTTTAACCGTTTGCAGAAATGCACCCCACAGTAGAAATCTTGGCGCCAACACTAGTTTTTTAGCTACAAGTTCAGCTGCCCCCGTGCTCACACGCGCGGTCCCTCAACCACACCAATGTGCCTCTGCCTCCGAGGCTGCACGCGGTTTCCTTTATCCGTAGAGCGTTCCCCATCGGCTGGCTAAACGTTCCTGTTCTGGGTGATTCCTTAGCTGCCTCTCTTTGGAAGATTCCCCTTGCCTTGTTCTCCCAGATCCGGCACAGTAAACTAGTGGGCACCATACGTCCCCAGTTCCCCATTTGGCAGCCGCTTCCCGCAGCCTCCGGAACCTTTGTTTTGCGTGGCTCCAGCGCGCTGCGGAGGAATTTTGACAGCGCTCCCTATCGACGCTTCCGGTGAGGGTCGTCTCCCCTGGGCCCGTGAGTGCACAGCTAGGGGCCTGCGCGGGAAGCATCGAAGCTTTGGAGGTTGGAGTGTGGACCGGAGGGACCTGGAGGAGAAGACCGAGGTGCGATGCCCGGGTTGGCCTCGGGGGGACCTGGAAGCCGGAGGGAGGGGCGTGTGCAGGGGGGCAACTTCCGCCTGCCGAGCCTGGCTGCAGGCCGAGGAAGGGTCTCGCTGCCTGGGCTCTCGCTTACCGCATCCCTCTCTCTGCCCGTGTGACCTGGAGCGAGCGTCCAGCACCAGAGCTGGTCATTTCTGAGAAACACGGGCAGGGAGCGCCCTTGTCAGTCATCCTCGTGCCAGGCAGGGTAAGGTGAGGCAGATTCTTGCCAGGTGCCGTGCGCGCGGCGGCTCTCGTGTTTGCTGAAAGCGTTTCCAGCCCTTTCGCTATCATCATCCCCAGCAATTTTGTCTTTAATTAATAAGGAAATAGATGTAATGTGAATATATATATATATAAAAAACTAAAAAGCAGAGGAGTCCAACTAATGTTAATTCTCTCATGCCGATGAAATCATTTGTAATACTTACTATGTAGAGCAGGCTGGCCCCCCAATCATAGATCTGTGTGTCTGTCTGTGGAGTGCAGTGTTGAAATAGATTAAAGGCCCAACTACCGTGCCCAACTAATACTTATTGAATGATCAAAAAATTCCTTTTATAGTTTTTCCTTTAATAGTTGAGATCATATTCCATATGTAATTTTGTGTCTCATTGAATTATGAGTTATAGCATTTACCTATTTATAAACGATAAATTTCTATTCTCCCACCATGCCCCAAGACAGTTTCTCTGTGTGGCCCTGGTTGTCCTGGAACTGGATCTGTAGAACAGGCTGGCCTCAAACTCAGAGATCTGCCTGCCTCTGTCTGGGATTAAAGGCATACACCATCCCTGACTGGCTGATAAATTTCATTTTGCTTGAGATTTTTTTTTTCCTGGTTTTTTGGGACAGGGTTCCTCTGTGTAACAGCCCTAGCTGCCTGGAACTAGCTCTTGTAGACCAGGTTGGTCTCTAATTCACAGAGATCTTCTTGTCTCCTGAGTGCTGGGATTAAAGGTGTGTGCCACCACCACCTGGATAAATTTCATTTTAAAACATGTGGTCCTGAGACAATTCAAGCTTACAAAAAGGAGAGAAAGAATAATGAATTGGTCTCTCAGCTATAATAATTGTTGGTTATGGTTAATCTTATTTCTCAGAATTCTTGTCCGGTGACATGTTCATGAAACAGTTTTTTATTTTTTTACATGTTTCAAATATATTTTTTTTGTTTTTGCTTTTTTGTTTTTGTTTTTTGAGACAGGGTTTCTCTGTAGCTTTGGAGCCTGTCCTGGAACTAGCTCTTGTAGACCAGGCTGACTTCGAACTCACAGAGATCCGCCTGCCTCTGCCTCCTGAGGGCTGGGATTAAAGGCGTGTACCACCACCACCTGGCTAAATGTTTTCTTATATTCTGATATTTTAACTTTGTCCTTAACTATCACATAATTAAATCATTTTGTAATAACTGTCTTTAGAAAACGTGTGATCCAATTGTTTGTTTACAGTGTTGAATAAGCACATATCATTATACAAGCATGGATGAAGAGCCTGAGAGAACTAAGCGGTGGGAAGGAGGCTACGAGAGAACCTGGTAGGTAGAGTGTAAATGTCATATGTTGTGGACATTGTCACTTTCCCTTCAGCTTCAGTTTACATGCACCTCATGTAGAATCTCTTTTGTGTAGCTTCTGCCGTAAACTGTTAGAACATTTTAATCACAGCAAAGTCCCTTCGCAGTCACTGCGTTTCCACCACCTGTAGACAACTGTGAATCTGTGACCTATAGACTCACCTTTCTTGTACATTTTATATAATTTTTTTTAATATCTTTTATGGTTTATTTAACTTTATTTTATGTGCATTGGTGTGAAGGTGTCAGATCCCCTGCAACTGGATCTTCAGACAGTTGTGAGCTGCCATGTGGGTGCTGGGAATTGAACCCGGGTCCTCAGGAAGAGCAGTCAGTGCTCTTAACCACTGAGCCATTTCTCCAGCCCCTATAAATTTTAAAGCTCATTCACGTGTATGTTTCTTTGTAATTGCTGTATAGTATCCCATGTACTGTTTTGCTACATTTTTGTTTATACATTCAGCATTTGATGGACATTTAGATCTGTTCCAGCTTTTGGCTATTGTGGATTGTACTGCTACAAAATTATATATACAAATTTTTACACATTTTAATTTTTTTGGGTTAGTACTTTTAGCTTATCTTTTCAAACCAATAAATATCGACTACAGGGAAATTCTTAAAGAAGATGAAAGTGGATCACTTAAAGCCACAATAGAAGACATTCTCTTCAAGGCAAAGAGGAAAAGGTATGAGATGCTTCTGTGAAAGAGTTACAGGAGGGGAGATATATTCCTGAAGCCTTCCTGTCTCGCTCCAGCTGTCCCTAACCCTTCCTTTTACTGTGTGCTCAGTAGGAAGCTCATCCATAGTTGACCAGGGTAAAGGACTAGCAGCTAGCCCTGCCCCCAGGAAAGTGGTGTTCAGAAACTGTCCGTGTGTATTCCAAATTTAATAATTCACTAAAAGATACAGATTAGTTGTTTTATTGGGTTTTTGGTAGCGTGTGGTGTTGAAATGAATTATTTTTTATGATTTTAACAGAGTGTTTGAGCATCATGGACAGGTCCGACTTGGAATGGTATGTTATGATTTTTTTCCTTGACTTGTGCAGAACTAGTTTGGATCAGAGGAATATTCTGACTTGATAGAATAAATGGTAAAACAACTACTTCTTAAAAATATATTTAAAATATATGGGATATTTGAATATTAAATGATATTTTTGCTTCTTCTCAAAAATGTACTTGGGAATTTCATTTGTATTTGGTAGATGCGCCACCTGTATGTGGTAGTAGACGGCTCAAGAACAATGGAGGATCAAGATTTAAAGCCCAATAGGCTGACTTGCACTTTAAAGGTAGAGTAAAACCATTTAAATCTGTGCTAAGTGTAGGGAAAGCATTTACATACACATGTATATATGTTTAAGAATGTAGGAAATGTTGTTTTGCTTTGTTTTTCTAACTAATAATAAATGTTAGCTATGTAGAAATGCTGCTAGATCATTTTCTAAAGTATTTTTTTACCCCAAGAACTAGTCTATAAATATGTTTTGAATTCTCCAACAATTTTTAAAAATTTTGTATGTACATTGGTGTTTTGTCTACATGTATAAGTGTGTCAAATCCTCTGGACCTGGAGTTACAGACAGGTGTAAGCTGACATGTTGGTGCTGGAAATTGAACCCAGGTCCTCTGTAAGAGTAGCCAGTGTTCTTAACCACTGAGCCATCTCTCCAGTCCACTTTTTTTTTTTTTTTTTTTCGAGACAGGGTTTCTCCTTGCTTATTGGTTCCTGTCCTGGAACTAGCTCTTGTAGACCAGGCTGGCCTTGAACTCACAGAGATCCCTCTGCCTCTGCCTCCCGAGTGCTGGGATTAAAGGTGCGCGCCACCACCGCCCGGCTCACTTTTTTTTTTTTTTTTTTTTTAAAAACAAAGATATGAGCCAGGAAGATGGCTCCAAAGTGTTTGCTGTACAAGACTGACAACCTGAGTACCACTAGTTGCTCTTCCAGAGGACCCAGGCTCAATTTCCTGTGCCAGTGTGACAGTTCATAACTGGCCATAACTTATGGTTTCAGGAATCCAGCACCATTTTTTGACCTCCACAGGCGTCAGGCACACAGGTCATGTGCAGGTATACATGCAGGCAAAACACCCATATACATAAAATAAAATAAAAATGGTGAAAGGAGAAAACTGACTAACTCTAGAAAGTTGTCCTCTGACCTCCACACGTACACTGTGGTTTGTTTTTTCTCTCTCTCTCTGTCTCTTGTCTCACTCACACACACATACAAACATACCATGATAATAAAAAATTAACTTGTTTTTAAAAAAGACTTGAAGCCGTGAAGTGGTGGCTCACACTGGTGGCACACACCTTTAATCCCAGCACTCAAGAGGCAGGCCAGCCTGGTCTGGTTTGAGACCAGAGTGAGTTCCAGTACAGCCAGGGCTATACAGATGAATCCTGTCTGGAAAAACAAAATAAAAACAAGATCGAAAAAACAAAACAAAAGACTTGAATAAGTAATTGCTTTGGTTTATTATTTCCCTAAATTACTGGTTCTTAACTTTCCTAATGGTCTTAGGTGACCCCTGTGAAAGTGTCATTTGCCCCCAAACGGGTCGCAACCCTCAGGTTGAGAACCGCTTTCTTGAGGCTAGTTATCCCCTGCCTCCCCAAGTGGTTTTCATTCTCCTTTGACTTTTGAATCTGTGCTTTCAATTTAACAGATTAGATTAACAATATTCTAACTTATTTACTTAGTTTTTTTCCAGACAGTTTCTGTGTGGTCCTGGCTGTCCAGTCTGTTCTGTAGAACAGACTCAGAGATCTGTTAGCCAGGGGCGCACAGTGAAACACTGTCTCACCAACACCTTGTATTTCTTCAAAGAAGTGCTACTTAATAAATAGATTCTACAGAATATTGAAATGTTCTTTATTGTTGTTATTTTGCCTTTTATAATACTTCCTTTTAATTTTCTTTTAACAGTTGTTGGAATACTTTGTAGAAGAATATTTTGATCAAAATCCTATTAGTCAGGTATGTAGATAAATGGTAGGATTCAAAACTAGATTCCCTGCTGTCAAATATAGTTTATTTCAAGAAGATGAGGCATATATTGTATGAGGTATTAAGGAAACCAGATCATGTACCTATTTTTGGTGTACTTGATAGTGAAGAGCAAGCTAGCTCAGGGTTAGACATATGCTGGGTTAATAGTGTGTATTCAGTTCATAGCCAGATTGTCAGAAACACCATGAGGAAAAAGTTCATGTGTGTTCCGTGTTTCTTTTGCAGTTACTAATTGATAGTTCATGTATTTCTTTATGAAGAGGAAATAATTTGTTATATTAAAATATTTTTTGTTTTCATTTGAGATTGGAATAATTATAACAAAGAGTAAAAGAGCTGAAAAACTGACTGAACTCTCAGGTATGTATAAAAGTATCTTTACAAGGCTCAAGGACTGTCTTACCTAACTCTGTAATCTTCCCGTGTGGCTTACTGATAAAGTGAAACTTTCCTCTGCATTTTAGGTGAACAACTTACTGTCCTTTTATTGAACTCTTGGGACTTACTGTTAATTGTTTCAAATTGAGTTCTGAAGTGTTGGATGATTGCATTGAAATACACATCCTTATCCTGAAAATAATAAGATAGCCTAATTGTTAGCGATTCATAAAATTCATATAATGTTGAAATTAAATGTCTAATTAAGAAAGCAAAAAGTATAAAAATTGAATTGGGCTATTTATGAATAGCTATAGAAATGGCTCAGAGCACTTGCTCTTTCAGGGGATCTGGGTTTGGTTCTTAGCACTCACACAGGGACTCCCAACTGTCTGTTACTCCAGTTCCAGGGGATCTGACACCCTTTTCATGTGCAGGCGAAACTGTCATACACATAAGTAAATAAATAAAAATTTAAAAATTAGTGGCAGTTTCTTTTGCCTTTATTATATATGCTGTTACAAATTTGTATCACTGTTTTTTGTAAAATATATTATCCCTTAAATTAGGTTCTCAGTTTTCTGTTAGTACACATAAGGGAGATGGCATACTTTCTTCACTAATAGTTCTTCCTCTAGCCACAAGGAATCAAATATACATTTGTCAAAAGTGTGCCAGGAAATCAGTTGACAATAATCCCTACTAAATAGTCCTAGAGAATGTTAGGGATGTAGCTTAATAAATAAAGCCCTGGGTTTGAATACCAATACCATAAGAAGCAAAACCAGGGGGAAGAGAGATGGCTTACTAGTTAAGAGCACTGGCTGCTCTTCCAGAGGATCCAAGTTCAATTGCTAGCACCCACATTGGCCCATAATCATCTGTAACTCCAGTTCTTGCAGATGTGATGTCGTCTTCTGGTTTGTAGGGACACTAGGCACACACATGGTGCATAGATATACATGCAGCCAAAACAGCCATTCACATAAAAACAAAAAACAAAAACAAAAATGCAAACCAACTCAAAGTAATTTCACTGCAAAAAGGAAATTGGCATATATTCAAAAGTGGACTGATTTCTCATGTAACTCTTATGTATACTAATGGATAAAGATTTTATATCTATATATAGCAAAATATATAGTAATATATGTGAATAAATAATACATACATATATATATATATATACACATATATTCTTTTCAGTATGAAATAAGACTGTCTACCAGATATCTCTGATAAAAATACAAACTGATAGAAATTGAAGGCATTCTGTTCTTTAAAATCATAAATTTGTAGTTTGGAAACAACATGCTTTTCTATATTTATATATAGAATTTTATTGAAAGTTATTTCATTTTACTTTAGGAAACCCAAGGAAACACATAGCATCTTTGAAGAAAGCTGTTGATACCACCTGCAGTGGAGAACCGTCTCTCTATAATTCCTTAAGCATGGCTATGCAAACCCTGAAGTCAGTATTTTAAAATTTATTTATTCTGTTTTTGATTGTATGTCTGTGTGTGTATATGTGTGTGTGCAGGAGTTCAGCAGGCCAGAAGAGAGTGTCAGATCCCTTGGAAAGGAGTTACAGGCGTTTGTGAACTGCCCAACATGGCTGCTGAGACTCGAGCTTTGTGCCTTTGCAGGAACATATCTTCCTGTAGTTGCTGAGCCATTTCTCTAGGCCCCATTTCTTTTTTTGTTTCTTTTTTTTGTTTGTTTGTTTTTCGAGACAGGGTTTCTCTGTGGCTTTGGAGCCTGTCCTGGAACTAGCTCTGTAGACCAGGCTGGTCTCGAACTCACAGAGATCCGCCTGCCTCTGCCTGCCTAGTGCTGGGATTAAAGGCGTGAGCCACCATCGCCCGGCTTCTTTCTTTGTTTCTTCCTTCCTTTTTTGCTCCTTATCTTCGCCTTTCCCTTCTCCTTCCCCTTCCTTCCTTTCTCAGGACACTATTTCCCATGTTGCCCAGGCTGTCCTCCAGCTTGATGTGTATCTAAGGATGACCTGAACTCCCGATTCTTCTGTCTCCACCTCCCCAGTGCTGGGATGACAGGCATGCACAACCGTAGCCAGTTTATATTATTATTTATAATTGTTTCAGAATTTTTTTCTGTGAGTTGTGTTGGGTTTCGTGAAGCCTGTTTTAACAAGAGTTAAGTAGGAAAAATCTGAAATGTCATGTATGATGTTTATTTTGATGTTGCTTATTTTTAATTTGTATTTTATCAGTTAACATGTATCTGCAATGGATTTAGAAAAATACAACAAAATTCACAGTGGTATACAAGAATTTGAAAAAAAATTTAATTAAGAATAAATTGAATGGCTAGGCATGGCATTGGATACTAGTAACTGCAGTACGCCAGAGGCTTATGAGTTTGAACTATATAGTAAGACTCTGTTGAGAGAGAGATTGAAATTAGATTTTTTTTCTTTCTTTTTCTTGTTTTTTTTTTGAGACAGGGTTTCTTTGTGGAGCCCTAGCTGTCCTAGAACTCACTCTGTAGACCTGGTTGGCCTTGGTCTCAGAGATCCAACTGCCCCTGCCTTCCAAGTGCTGGGATTAAAGGAGTATGCCTCTACTGCCCAGTGAAATTTAGAATTAGATACCAAATAATAATCGTGAATTGACTGTAACTTTTTTAAACATTTATTACCTTATTTTGTAGCTTAGATGTATAAACCATATGTACTCCTCATTTTGGATGAATTTTTAGCTAGTATAATTTGATCTATTGTAATGTATCCTCACCTCTCTTTGTAGACATATGCCTGGACATACAAGTAGAGAAGTACTAATCATCTTTAGCAGCCTGACAACCTGTGATCCGTCTAATATTTATGATCTCATCAAGGTAGGACCACAACTGAAGCAGACTCTAAAGAAAGTGTGGTAGTGAATTTATCACTAGTTTTCAGAACACTATTTTTCAAAGTTATTATTCATAAATGTTTTTCTTTCTCTTATGAAATATTTCATCTTTCTGGATCTTATGAAGACCCTGAAGGCAGCTAAAATCAGAGTGTCTGTTATTGGATTGTCTGCAGAGGTTCGAGTTTGCACTGTACTTGCTCGTGAAACTGGTGGTATATATCTCCATTCTCCAATAATTATAGTTACTGTGTAAGAAGAAGTTTATTAATTAAGTAGGATGTTTTGCACTATTAAACTGAAACCATTTTATGTCTGTAGTTGAAAATATAGCTGTAATCTTAAGCATATTGATTTTACTAAACAAACACTTAAAATTCAAGGAACTTTCAGTAGGTCAGTGTTTAGAGTTACAGCTTTCAAAACACTAGTAAGCTCACTTTATGTAATACTTTGTAAAGACTATAGCTTGACTTTAATTTTAGTTACTATTATGCCTAGAGAATTGGATTGAGAGATTTATTTAAATTATTTTTAAATGATAATTTACTTAAAATGGTTATGAAATGTATATTTTCACATGATGAAACTTCCTTAGACTGACAGAGAAGCTCTTGTCTTTATAACTGCTGTGTTTTGCTTTTGTTTGTTAGGCACATACCATGTTATTTTAGATGAAACCCATTACAAAGAGTTGTTAACACATCATGTTAGCCCTCCTCCTGCCAGCTCAAGCTCCGAATGCTCACTCATTCGTATGGGTACGTGTTTCTTCTGTGTTGGTTACGTGTTTGCCTTTGGTTCAAACTAAGCATTTTGCTTTCATTTGTGCAAGCTATTTAACATTTAAGATTTTTCTTACTTAAATCCTTTATAATAAAAAATTGCATGCTGAAGTGTGTGGGTTTTTTTTGAAATATTTATTTATTATGTATAAAATATTCTGTCTGTATGTGTGTCTGCAGACCAGAAGAGGGCACCAGACCTAATTACAGATGGTTGTGAGCCACCATGTGGTTGCTGGGTATTGAATTCAGGACCTTTGGAAGAGCAGGCGATGCTCTTAACCTCTGAGCCATCTCTCCAGCCCCTGAAGTGTGTTTATAAAATGAAGAGAATTGATAGTTACCTATAGTCATGTCATACGAAAACACTTCTGGCCTTTTTTAGCTAGGAAGGTACAAAGGTGTTTTATTTAATGAAAAGTATTTGTGGTAAGGAATTTCTTAAATAAGCTACAAAATCTTTATTATATGATCAAAGTATGTCATACAAACCGCAAAGACAAAAGTTGCAATGAGTACACCAGTTACTCATTGATTCTCCCTCCCCCAGGAAACAGGAAATGATTGGTCATAAAAATGATCATTTAATGCTTTTTTTTCTTTCCTTCCTTTCTTTCTTTCTTTCTTTCTTTCTTTCTTTCTTTCCTTCTTTCGAGATAGGGTTTCTCTATGTAGCTAGCCCTGGCTGGCCTGCTTCAAACCCATTGATATCTACCTGCTTCTTCCTCCAATGTGCTGGGATTAAAGGTGTACATCACTATGCCTGGCATTTATAAGAATTTTTTGCTTTTATTTTCTAAAAAAAATTATAATGAACACATGTTATATTGATGCTTTTAGAAGGTATACATATATTTTTTTAAACATTAAAAATGAATCTCCTTGCTTAATTTGCCTTTTTAAAATACCAGTGAAATGAAATGCTTTTCTATCTTAGTTTTGGCTATTTGTGATACCAGTAACTTCTTTCTCCTGTGGGTTTTTTTTTCTTCTGTTGTTTTTGTTTTTGTAAACTATGTTAATATATACTTAACTGTGTGTTGGAAAGATTGAAAGATTGAGTTAATATAGATGAAGCATTTAGAATTTTTTTTTCATGTAAAGTGTATTTTATTGTAGATTTGCTAATATATATATATGGGTACTTTATCTGCATATACATCTGGATATCAGAAGATGGCACCAGACAGTTGTGAGCTACCATGTGGGTGCTGGGAATTGAACTCAGGACTTTTGGAATAGCAGTGAGTGCTCTTAACCACTGAGCCATCTCTTCAGCCCTAGAATAATTTTTATTTTTATGTGCATTGGTATTTTGCCTGCATGTGTATCAGTGTGAGGGTACCAGATTCCCTGGAACTGGAGTTACAGAATTGCTGGGAATTGAGCCCAGTTCCTCAGCCAGTATTCTTAACTGCTGAATCATCTCTCCAGTTCCTAGAATAATTCATGATGTAAATATTTAGTATTTTTTTCAGTGATATGTTTGCCAGTCTTTTAAATTTAGTGATATATTTTTTTACTCCATTTGAAAGTTATTATTTAATTTATAGTTTATTTGAAATACTTTCTCTTCATGCTTCTAATGCAAATAATTGACCTTACTTTAAAACAAAAACTCGCAAACAATATCTCTTTATGATGTTCACACTGGCCTCAAATTCCAGGGTTCATGAAATCTTTTTGCCTTCGCCTCCTAAGTAGCTGGAACTACTGGTGTGTTGTACTGCACTACCCTTGCTGTTTTTGTTCATTTGTTTAACTATTTTGTGATGCTGGAGATTAAACCTCAGGCCTTCTACATACTAAATACATGCCATACATACTTAACTTAAGTTTTTCTTAACTTACGTTTGTTTTTATTTGTAGATCCATTTTTCAGTTTTATGTAATGATCTCTCTTGCTCTCATCTTTCTGGTTTCTGCTTTTCCTAAAATTTCTTCCATATCTATTCCCTTAAATTTCAAAAATTTAAAATTTAAAACAAATATGTACTTAAAGAGAAACTATATCATGTAGTATATTTATTTCTATTAGGAGCTATATAAAATGTGCGAACTGTTTCTTTTTAGATGCAGTATTAGTAAATTAAAATATAGATAGACATTTTGGAATGTGAGGTTATATGTATAGCTAGATCGTTTCCCTTTTCTCTACTTTTTCTTATATCTTTGAATTAGAGTTTCATCATATTATGATAGGCAAATATATCCTGAGAGGTAGGAAAGAGCTTTCATACAACTTTGTTGATTTTCTAGTAGGACTATTTTTAGATTCATAGTTCTAAAATTCTGTTCTTTGTCCATGAAAAGAAATTAATACTTTAATTTTTTTTAAATTTATAAAGGATTTCCTCAGCATACCATTGCTTCTTTGTCTGATCAGGATGCAAAACCATCCTTCAGCATGGCGTAAGTAGAGAGCAATTGTCAATGATATTTTAGCATTCAAAATTTATTCCTCTAAGTTTTAGCTTAGATAGAAGGTCTTAAAATACAATGATTTTTATAAACTAATAACATGTACATGGCCATAAAAAGAAATGATCCGCCGGGCGGTGGTGGCGCACGCCTTTAATCCCAGCACTCGGGAGGCAGAGGCAGGCGGATCTCTGAGTTCGAGACCAGCCTGGTCTACAAGAGCTAGTTCCAGGACAGGCTCCAAAGCCACAGAGAAACCCTGTCTCGAAAAACCAAAAAAAAAAAAAAAAAAAACCCCAAAAAAGAAATGATCCTCTTGTATATGTCTATGCTATGATAGTCAGGATATATTACTAAATAAAATGGCAAGGCTGGGTGGTGGTGGTGCACACCTTTAATCCCAGCACTCGGGAGGCAGAGACAGGTGGATCTCTGTGAGTTCAAGACCAACCCGGTCTTCAGAGTGAGTTCCAGGACGGGCTCCAAAGCTACAGAGAAACCCTGTCTCAAAAAACAAACAAAAAAAAAAAAACCAGACAGACAAACAAAGACAAGGTAGAAATGTATACTACATTACCAGTCATCTAAATTAAAGGTGGGGAGGGATACTGGCTCACACCTGTAATTCCAGAACTCAGGGAGACTGAGGCAAGGTGATAGTGTTTAGTTTGCGGTCACTCTGGTCTGTAGAATGAGATCCTGTGTCAAAAAGCCATAAAGAATAAATAAAATAAAAATGCAGATATGAGTAAATGTATTTACTTGTTTATTCTAAGGATAAAAAAATAGTATTGGGAATAGAAAGTTAAAAAAAAAACCATTAACCTTGGTGGGTGCTTGGGTAACTTAGGGAGGCTCTTCTCAGAATAAAAAGGGAAAGGAAGGTTGGCTAGAGCTAAGTGGTAAAGTGCGTAACTATTCTGCATAAGGCTGCACAAAGGACATTTGATAGAGCCCATAGTAATGGGGTCACATTAGGTTAGTGGCTGATCTAGACCAGACAAGCGATACTAAAAACAAATTTTGAGTAGATCGGTAAGTATCTCAGTTACTTTATTCTAAAACAAAGCTCTGAATGTTAATGGAGAAAAAAGTTAGCACCCAGAACAGCACAATTTATAGTATCTGAGAGCATGCAGAAGTGACCAGGCAGCCAGCTGTGCTGATGTATTGTCATATGCCAGCCAGCACTCAGGGATGAGATAGGAGGATCATGGCAAGTTTAAGGCTGGCTAGCTTGGGTTGTAAAGAAAACTGGGAAGAGAGGGAAGGAATAAATGAGAGGGTGGGAAGGAGGCAGGGAAATTGGTAGTGGTGGTAGGGATTTCCCTAGAGAGAGAATATGAGATAATGAGAAAAGATAGAGATAAAGAAAAAATAAAGAATGGAGAACACTTACTAGAATTAGGAGATGACTATTAAAATAGCCAATGTAAATACACTTTATAATTCTCTAAGCGAAAGAGAACTTGACAATGTATTAAAAGACTTCTAGAAATGAAATCAAACTTCTAGAAATGAGGAATATAATGTCTGTGATGAAAAGTGCATTGGAGGGCCTGAAGAGATGGCTCAGTGGTTAAGATCACATAACTTTCCTACACAGGACCAAAGTTTGGTTCCTAGTACCTACCTACATTAGGCAGGCCACAGCTGCCGGTAGCTCCAGATCTGGGGGATCTAACACCTCTGGTCTCTGAAGGCATCTGTACTCATGTGCACATACTCACTCACAGACATCCACACTCACACAAAATTAAAAATAAAGTCTTAAGAAAAGCACAGTGGTTGGGATGAACAGAGTAGTCAGTGCAGGAGAAAGGAAAAACAATGAATTCAGTGGCAGCAAGAGAAACTTCAAAATAAAGACAGAAAAAAGTCGAGCATTAGTGAGCAATGAAACATACATGTTTTCAAGTAAAATTTTACTCATTTATCTATCTAATACATATTTTTTAAGACCTGATCTCATTATGTAGCCCTGGCTGGCCTAGAACTCACTATTAGACCAGGCTGGCCTTGAACTCACAGTTCTCTGCTTGCCTTGTCTTCTGAGTGCTGGGATTGAGTTACATACTTTCTTTAGCTTTTTTTACCTCTTAAAAATAACTGTTTTCTCCCACAGGCATTTGGATAATAGCACTGAGCCAGGACTTACATTGGGAGGCTATTTCTGCCCACAGTGTCGAGCAAAGTACTGTGAGCTTCCTGTTGAATGTAAAATATGTGGTAAGAACTCCATTATTTTTCACTCAATAAATTAGTATTGAATAACTTCCTATCTATATAGCTGCTGAAATAAACATAGAGTCCTGCTTATTATGAATTTAATTTGTACATAGAAAGTAGAAGTAATCCACTTCTAAGAATAAACATATCATTATAAATGTTTCCTTATTCTCTTTCTGATAAGTATATTTTTTAAAAGCACCTTAATAGACAATTTTGGGCTCTTAATATAATCTATATATAAATAGAATGAGGAATTAATATAATTCTAAGACCTTTCATTTTTAAGTAAGCAAATTGTTTTCTAAGAGGGGGGTTGCATTTAGTGACAGAACAAATTCTGTCCTGGAATCTTTTTTTATGGCTGTAGGTAAAAAACACTCAAGGTCCTAAAAATACTGAGTGCTGGGTGTGTAGCATAGTGTCAGGTTCTTAGTGTGTGTGAGGCCCTAGATTTGATTCCCCACAAGAAAATAAAAATACTTTGTCTAAGTGTGTTGTTTGACTTTTCAGCGACTGTCTTAATGAGGTTGTGCTTATTATTTCTGTCTTTATGCATCAGGTCTTACTTTGGTGTCTGCTCCTCACTTGGCACGATCTTACCATCATTTATTTCCTTTGGATGCTTTTCAAGAAATTTCCCTAGAAGAATATAATGGAGAAAGGTATATGAGTTTTGATTAATTTTTATGTTATAGTTGTAAACTAATATTTGAAACAGTTAGCACCTAATGTTATATTAATTTGTGCAAAGTTACATCTAATATAGAAAATGACATGTAGAATACTCTGTATTTCTAGAAATCTGTTTATTTCCCTAAGCTCCCATATTGTAGTTGAGAGTGATGTGTACTGTTTTGGTGGGGAGTGGGGATTGGGGTGGGGCCTAAAAATGGCTCATTGTTTAGGAGCATGTACTGCTCATGGAGAGGACCCTGATTGGTTTCCCAGCACCTTGGAGCTGCCTGTACTTCCAGCTCTAGGAGATTCTACGCGTTCTCTCCTACATATACCCGTACGTGTGCATATACATAATTAAAATTAATCTTTTTTCTTTTTTTGGTTTTTTGAGACAGGGTTTCTCTGTAGCTTTAGAGTCTGTCCTAGAACTCACTCTGTAGACCAGGCTGACCCCAAACTCATGGAGAGCCGCCTGCCTCTGCCTCTGCCTCTTGAGTCCTGGGATTAAAGGTGTGCACCAGCATTGCCAGCTAATATGGCTGTTTTGTAATAAATTCTGAGAGCCTGTAGGCAGGGTTGATGCTATGCATTGATTTTAGGGCCTTGTACCTGCTGAGGTTGTAGTCTACTGCTGAGGTATATGAGGTATATACCAGCCCCAGTTCTAAGAACTCTTACCTCTTTTTTTTTTTTTTAATGTTTAAATGCTGTGTGTTTTCAAATTTTAAACAACAGATACATTAAATTAAAATTAATTAAAGTCAGCTAAACATAAGCCTCAGTCATTCAAGACTGTCTCTGGATCTTTTTCTTTTTGCAAATGAGTAGGGTCACATTTTGTAAATAATTGCTTTTTTTTTTTGGTTTTTCGAGACAGGGTTTCTCTGTAGCTTTGGAGCCTGTCCTGGAACTAGCTCTTATAGATCAGGCTGGCCTCAAACTCACAGAGATTTGCCTGCCTCTGCTGGGATTAAAGGCGTATGCCACCACTGCCCAGCATAATTGCTTTTTAAAATTGTTTTTATTGAGCTATGCATATTTCTGCACTCCCCTTCCTTCCTCCCCTGAACTCTTAACTCTTACAACCAGCCCTGGAAAACAAAGCCACAGGCATCCACTATATGTAACAAATTCCTTGGTAACCTCTAGGATTCTCTGCTATTCACTGTATTTTGGAGAACTGAAAAATAATAATTCAAATATTTTCTGTAGGGATCAAAGTCTCATAAAATTCTAGTTTAGAAAGCATGTGCTTATTTAATCATAATGAAAATAATAACTAAGCTTTGGGTTATGTGATGACCTGGGGCATATTGTATAATTTTTCTTGTTGTTCTGAGGAATTATAAACAGGGTTTATTGGGTATGCTGCAAGGGACACAGGCTAGACTGTAAGAAGAGTTCCATAACCCATACTATATGGTTAAAAGAACTATTGACTTCTTAAAATGCTCCTTAAAAGTCACGTGTAAATACAATTACTTATTAAAGGATTCTAGGTTCTAAGATTTTGCTAAATCATTTTATTTATTTATTTATTAAATTTTATTTATTATTTTTTAACATATGGGTATTTTGTCTGCCTGTATGCTTACAGGCCAGAGGAGGGTATCAGATTCCATGATAGATGGTTGTGAGCCACCATGTGGTTACTGGGACTTGAACTCAGGACCTCTAGAAGAGCAGTCAGTGCCCTTAACCACTGAGCTACCTCTCCAGCCCACTAAATTATTTTAATGAGTGAGAGCAAGTAATGATTGTCAAACTTTTTTTTTTTCAGGTTTTGTTATGGATGTCAGGGGGAATTGAAAGACCAACATGTAAGTTCATTGGCTTTATCAACATTAAGTGATACATTAGAAATATTGAGACAATGACACTGTAATAAGTTGGAAATAGATTGGTGAAGGTCAGGCTTGTATCAGGTTGTTCCCTATAAGACAATAAGTAGAAAGAGTTAAAATGGGAACAAAGTAGTTTAAATAGTTTTGTCATTCTCATTCTAACTTACTATAGGGGATTTTAATACTGGTGCTTCAGTTTTTCAAGCTAAAATACATTTAGTTTAGAAATATTGTAGTATTATACTTTAGGATCTATTATAATTTATTTTGAAATTAGAACTATGGTTCATAAACAAAACATTGTGCTAATAAGAAAATACTTTAAACTTTTTTTTGATGACAGAGCCAGGTGCAGTGGCATGCGCCTATAATTTCAGCTATTGGGATGGTAAGGCCAAGAAATACTTGAGCTAGGAATTCAAAGTCACCCTGGGCAGCAGAGTGAACTCTCCCTTAAGACATAGCAGAGTTTAGAGCTGAGATCACAGGCTTGTGCTCCCATGCCCTGCTTGCTTTCACAGATAGGTACAATAGCAAGTGCATAATGTCATAGCTGTTCGTTCAGGAGGCTGAGGCAGGAGGGTCTGAAGTTTAGGACCAATGTGGGTAATGTAGTCCCATTTTTCAAAAATAAACAAGTAATAATAAAGAAAACAAGTAGAAAGAGAAATGTCTTTTTTCTTTTCATTAAATTTTATATCCCTTAGTACCAGTGGAGTAGGTCAGTGGTAGAGCACCTACCTATCATGCATGAAGCCCTGGCTTTGAATCCCTGCACTGAACAAAAAGGGTTTGCATTTTCTTTGTCATTAGTAGCTTTGTTCTCACCAGAACCACTTTAAAAAATCATTTGGCAGTATTAAAATTTATTATTATTATTGCGTGCGAGAGTATAATGTATATGTGAGAGTGTGAGCACATGTGCCAAGTGCGTGTGTGGAGGTTGGAGGACAACTTCTGGGAGCCATTTTTCTCCTGCAATTTTCATATGGGTTTTGAGGATCAAATTCAGGTTTGCGTGGTGCTTTATGCTTTGAGCTGCATCCATCCATCCATCTTTATTTTATTTTATTTTTTTGTAATCATACGAGGCTTTAATTGATGAGATGAGACTCATAACCCATGCAGGGGAAGAGTTCGACCCCGAGTGACCTGGAGAAGGGATTTTTAGAGGAAGAAACCACAGCCCAATAATAGGGACAGGGAGGACGTCGCAGAAAGTCACAAGGGGACAACTCCCTGCCTCTCAAGATCACTCAAGGTCATAATCAGCTAATTCCTAAAATCACAAGGGGGAAACTCCCTGTTTCTCAAGATTATTCTCAAGATTACAATCTAACTTTATCTCCAGCTAGTTCCTAAAACACAGTCACTGAACCAGCTAATCCTAGATTTTTGATTCTTCTCTTCCTGCTTGGATTTTTGGCTATTTTCATCCTGCTGGCGAGGTCTGGATTTATCCAGGTCTTTCAGTTCCAGTCCTGGTGGAGAACACTTCTAGAAACCTTGGGGCTGGAGAGATGGCTCAGTGGTTAAGAGCATGCCTGCTTTTCCAAAGGTCCTGAGTTCAATTCCCAGCAACCACATGGTGGCTCACAACCATCTTTAAAGAGGTCTGGTGCCCTCTTCTGGCCTTGGTCTGAGCAACTCAGAAAGTTTCGTGGACCCCAGAGTCCTGCCTGTTCTCTCTGGTGTCCTCCACAACCCCTGGGTTTGAGCTGTCCATTCTTTCCCAGGGAGGGAATCTCAGCTAGTAGCACCAGGTAGGGCTATGTCATCATAATATAAATAGGCCCCACTGGTCTCAGGGCCCTTTGTTGGGAAGCAAGGTCAGTGACCCAGCAGTGGAGGACACCAAATAGCTTTTTGGGAGGCCAAGGTTTTTCTTTTTTGTTATTTTTTTTTTCCAGAGAGGATTTCTCTGGCTGTTCTAAAACTCACTTTGAAGGCCAGACTGCTCTCCAACTCACAGAGATCCGCAGGCCTCTGCTTTCTGAGTCCAGATCCCATCCATCCATCTTTAAATGAACAGTACAACTTTCTCTGTCTGTATAATGCTATGTGTGTATGTTTTCAGGGCTGACCACTAGTCCTGGATAGCCCATTGGGAAGACTTTCTCCCACTCTCAGTGTTCCGTGGTTGCTTATAGTTCTTTGTGTTGTTGGGTTGATGCCCCATGGGCTTGGCACATGTGCTCACACTCTCACATAACATTATACTCTCACACGCAATAATAATAATAAATTTTAATACTGCCAAATGATTTTTTAAAGTGGTTCTGGTGAGAACAAAGCTACTAATGACAAAGAAAATGCAAACCCTTTTGTTCAGTGCAGGGATTCAAAGCCTACGTTCGTGTTAGCATGTCTTCTGGTGTCCTTGTTCAGCTAATGTTTAGGCAGTCACATTAGTGCGACTTCATGGGTGTAGCTTCTCTAACATTTCTAGGAGATAGAATCTCACAACATACTCTCTATTTCTGGCTCTTAGAATCTTTCTATGCTCTCTTTTGTAATGATTCCTGAACCTTAGGTGCAGGAGTTGTATTGTATCAGTGGGATTGGGTTCCATAACTCACTCTGCATTTTGATAGGTTGTGGTTTTCTGTAACGGTCTCTATCTGTTGCAAAGATAAGTTTCTATAGCTGGAGACTTCTCTGTCCTTCTCGATTCTACTGGACCAGTTTCTCTCCTGCCTCTGGTCCCCACAGCCACTTATAAAATAATCATTTGGAGGCTTAATGTTAATTATAACTATTTGGTCAATGGTTCAGGCTTACTGGCTAGCTCTGCATATAAATGAACCCATTTCTAATAATCTGTGCATCACTATGTGCCCCATTCTGGATCTTACTCCTCCCGTGACTGCTGGCATCTCCACGACTCCTCCTTCTTTTTCCCCATCTCTCTGCTTTGATTTCTTGTCTAGCTGCATTCTGCCCTGCCATAGGCCAAAGCAGCTTCTTTTTTAACCAGTGGTAATAAAACATATTTACAGCATACAGAGGGGCATCCTGCATCATGTTTCCTTCATGAGGACTACAGTTATCTGTGGGTATAAGGACAAATATTTAGAATTAGTATTTTCGCTAGTTTGGTAAACTGGTGGTTGTAGATTCTCCTCCAAGATTTAACTAACTCTGGTAGACTAGGTTTCTAGTACCAGGCGTAATTTCTCTCTTGTTGAGTGGACCTTAAATCCAATTAGAGAGCCGTTGGTTACTACTGAAGTATGCGTGCTACTATTACACCCTTAGGGCTGTCGTGCCTTGCTGATTATTCTTGCATAGCTGAGTAGGACTGTTGGTTGCTTTCCTCCTTGGAAAACAAGTATGGATCCTAATGGTACCATGAAAACTGGGCCTCAGGGAGGAGGCTTCCAGGTCAGTTTCCTCAGGACTAGCTGTCATGTTACCAGAAGGTGCTCCATTGTCAGTTTTAAAGAACACATCTTAGTGTAGTGATTTGGAATCTGTGTGTTGTTGCCCTAGAAATCTTAGACCAAAGTGCAAAGATCCCCATATGTAATGTTGATAAAATAATGCATTTTTTTCTTTATGTCTTATGTGTTTCATTTGACATACTCTTGTGTTTGTTTTTGTGCTTTGCTTTTTTTGAGATTGGGTCTTGTAACCCAGGCTGGCTTGGACCTTGATTCGTAGGCTAGGATGACTTTGAGTTTGTTATCTTCCTGCCTCCACTTCCTAAGTGCTTTAATTATAGGTGTGTATCTACCCTCGCTCCCAGATGTTTGCCATATTCCTTAAAGATTTAATAGGGGAATATAGCTTTTGTAATTGAGAGTTCATTCCCTAAGAATAATCAATCTGTAGTAAGTTTTTGTGCTTTTCATTTTATTTTAATTGTCAAATGCCTTCAAATCTAGTACTGGTTTTAGATTCATGTGTCTTCCCCAAGTTGTTATTTAAAAGCAAGTAATGTGACTGTCCTATAATAGAATAGACTTTAAGGTCTCAAAACAGAGTAGCTCCTTACTCCTAAGGGCCAACTTAAGAGGAAAATATGTATTGGATTTGAGAAAACTGTGTTATATTTAGTACTTGGAAGCAATACAGTCTATAGGTGGGTAGGGAAGATTGATGAGAGCAGAGAGCAAGGCTTTACATGTCTCTGGCTGTGCTGCACTTAGCTTTTGGAAACTAGCTTGGTTCATTCACTTTTCTCCTTTTCATTGCAGGTCTATGTTTGCACAGTGTGCCAAAACGTTTTCTGTGTGGATTGTGATGTTTTTGTTCATGACTCTCTCCACTGTTGTCCTGGCTGTATTCATAAGATCCCAACTCCTGCAGGTATTTGATTCCAACATGTAGGACACACACTGAGTGGGTTAAGAAAGCTTGTAACTTAAATAAAATGATTCTTTGAATAAATTGATTCTCTAATTAAAGCATGAAAACACTTTGAAAGAATCTGACTTCAGAAACTTTTGCTATGAACTGTTTTCTATGAAAGAATATTTTTATTTATATTCTATCAAAAATATGCATATAGATTCAATTAATTTTGTTTTATTTTGAGTCGTATTTTCAGTTTAACTCAGTATTATATATTAATTACTTACAGTGACTAAATTGATGTCATAGTCTCAATTTTTGTTTTTAGATTGTTATTTAAATGTTTGTGTGGGTGTATACATAAGTTTATGTTTATCATAACGTGTGTAGATGCCCACAGGGGTCAGAAGAGGGGTCAGATCTCCTGGAACTGGAGTTAAAAGGCATCTGTAAACTGCTCAGTGTGGGTACTGGGAACCGAACCCAGGTCCTGAGCAAGAGCAGCAAGTGCTTTAATCACTGAGCCATCTCTCCAGCTCCAGAGGATGTTCTTTAAGAAAAAAAAAAAGCGCGTGCACACACATACACACCCCCCCCACACCCACCCACACGCACACCCACTCAGAGGTTCTTTTTTTAAAATTTATTTTGTTTTATATTTTATATTATATTGTTTTATATTGGGTTTTGCCTGTATGTTTGTCTGTGTGAGAGTATCAGAAGCCCTGGAACTGGAGTTACAGACAGGTGTGAACTGCCATGTGGGTGCTGGGAATTTGTGGTGATTTGAAAGAAAATGGCCCCCAAAGGGAGTGGCACTATTAGGAGGTGTGGCCTTGTTTGAGTAGGTGTGGCCTTGTTAGAGGAAGTGTGTCACTGTGGAGGTGGGCTTTGAGGTCTCATATATGCTTGAGTCATTTCCAGTGAGATAGTTCACTTCCTGTTGTCTTTGGATCAAGATGTAAGGACTCTGAGCTCCAGCACAATGTCTGCCTATGTACTGCCCCCCCCCCCACATGATGATAATGGACTAAACCTCTGAACTGTAAGCCAGCCCCAATTAAATGTTTTCTTTATAAGCGTTGCCTTGGTCATGGTGTCTCTTTGAATTGTACCCCGCTCCTCTTGAAGAACATTTTGCTCTACTGATTGTTTTCTGTGGAACCAATTTCTGTTACAGGTAACCTGGTAACTATCTTTTTTCCTTGTCAACAGAGCTGTTAGTTACTTGTAAGACATATCTCTAGCACTGTCAGAGTATTCTCTATCCCCTACTCCTACCATACTTAGAAGAAAGGCCTTACTCAAGAACAATGGCAATGGGTTTTTGATCCTACTGCACGTACTGGCTTTGTGGGAGCCTAGGCAGTTTGGATGCTCACCTTACTAGACCTGGATGGAGGTGAGTGGTCCTTGGACTTCCCACAGGGCAGGGAACCCTGATTGCTCTTCGGGCTGATGAGGGAGGGGGACTTGATGTGGGAGGGGGAGGGAAATGGGAGGCGGTGGTGGGGAGGAGGCAGAAATCTTTAATAAATAAATAAATAAATAAATAAATAAAAGGCCTTGAATGTCTCCTCTTGAAGTCACCAGAGCTGGCCATGGTAAACCCAGCACTTGGGAGGTAGAGGCAGGTGGATCTCTCTGAGTTCAAGGCCAGCCTGGTCTACAAAGTGAGCTCCAGGACAGCCAGGGCTATTACATAGATAAACCTGTCTTGAAAAACAAAATGAAACAACAACAAAAAACTCAACAACAACAACAAAAAACAAAAAGAAAGAAGGAAAGAAAGAAAGAAGTCACCAGAGTGTTTTAGAGACTGTGGCAGCTAGTTTTTGTTCTTTTTCATTTAGGTCTTTTTTAAATTTTAATTCTTCTCTCATACATTACATCCTGACAGCAGTTTTCCCTCCCTCTACTCTTCTCAGTTCCTCTCCTTTCCGCCAGATCCACCCCTTCTTGGTTTCCCTTCAGAAAAGAACAGGCCTCCCAGGGATATCAACTGAACACAGCATAACAAGTTACAATGAGACTAGGCACAAACCCTCATGTCAAGGCTGAATGAGGCAACCACTATAGGAGGTCCCCAGAGCTGGTGAAAGAGTCAGAGACAGCCCCACTCCCACTTGGAGGAGTCCCACAAGAGCGCTGAGCTACACAACCAGAACCCATCAGGCTCCGTAACTGTTGCTTTAGTCTCTGTGAACCCCTTTGGGTCCTGCTTAGTTGATTCTGTGGACCATTTCTCATATGCCCTAGATCCTTCTGGCTCATACTTTCTTCTCCTCTTCCATGGGGTTCCCTGAACTCCACTTAAAGTTTGTCTGTGGGTCTGCATCTCCTCCCATCAGTTGCTGGATGCAGCCTCTCTGATGACACCTGGGCTAGGCGCTGATCTAAGAGTATAGCAGAATATCATTAGGAATCATTTCATTGACTTGTTTAGGTTTTTGTTTTTGTTTTTGGCCGGTTGTGTTTGGTTCTGTCTAGGTCTCTGGGCTGTCCAGCCTCCAGATTCTGGCCCTCCAGCCAGTGCTAGGCATGGGCTCCCTCTCATGGCGTGGGCTTCTAGTTTTTTTAGCTTTCTGAAACCTGGAGTAGAAGATAGACAACTCTGAAAAGAAGGGATTCAAGGAACTCTGAGATGGTGTCAGGAGTTTGTGATCATCATAAAGTACAAAAGTCTAAAGTTAGTATGTTCCATACTCTCCCTTCAGGAAATAAAAGGACCAAAATAATCTTAATTCATCTAATTCTTCCCTCAAATAAGTTGTTATATATTTCATTTTTTTCTGTTTCACAAAACATTACTATTTGTTTTTAATCAGTTACCATTTGTTAAGATGCAATAAAAAATTTACCACTTTCTTGGCTCTTCATTTTTTCTTTCTTTGAGGTCCATTTAGGATCATTTTTCTTTTCCTTGAATTACATTTTTTTTTTAGAATATAGTAACATTCACAGCCTTGAACACATGGGCACAGGAGACCACTTCCTAAATATAACCCCAGTAGCACAGACACTGAGAACAACAATAAGTGAATGGCACCTCCTGAAACAGAAGCTTCTGTAAGGCAAAGGACACAGTCAATAAAACAAAACGTCAACCTACTGAATGGGAAAAGATCTTCACCAACCCCATATCAGACAGAGGACTGATATTCAAAATATATAAAGAGTTCAAGAAACTAGACATCAAAATACCAAATAATCCAATTAAAAATGGGGTACAGATCTAAACAGAATTCTCAACAGAAGAATCTCAAATGGACAAAAGATGCTTAAAAAACTGCTTAGCATCCTTAGCCATCAGGGAAATGCAAATCAAAACGACTGTGAGGTACATCAGTCAGAATGGCTAAGATCAAATGAAAACACCAATGACAGCTTATGCTGGAGAGAATGCAGAGTAAGGGGAACACTCCACCATTGCTGGTGGGAGTGCAAACTTGTTTAGCTACTTTGGAAATCAGTATGGCGGTTTCTCAGAAAATTGAGAATCACAGTGTAGTTTATGTCATATATATATTTTGAGTGGGTAAAGATAGCGTAAGCAAAAGGAAATACTGGGAACTAGTAGAAATCATGAAGTCCAGATACAAGATCTACACAATTTGTAATTTTTAGTAGATTCACCAATAAAAAAGAAGACCAGATTACTAACATCCAAATAAGATGAAGGCTGGTGAAAAAGCTCAGAGCTTAAGGCAAGGGCCACTGAGCCACTGACCTGAGTGCAACCTCTGGGGTCCTCATAGGTGGCCTAGGGAAGTGGTTGCTACAAATTGTCGTCTGGCCGCACATGTGACATGTGCATTCACACAAACACACTGAAAATGTAGGGAAGAGTAAACAGAAGTAAAAGATGATCCAGGTGAGACGGTACACTCCTGTAATTCTAGGGCTTGGGAAGCTGAGACAAGGGTTGCCTCAAGTTCAATGCCAGCTTGGGCTGCAAAGCAAAACCTTGTCTCAGAAACCAAACAAAACAGGAAATGGGAGCTAGTCTAAAACTTTAGAATTCACATATTTACCCTCCAAAGAAATACTCATTTCCTAAAACAGTGCAGTGGCGCATGTTTTTAGTAGCTTTCCTTAATCCTTCTAAAGGGTCCTAGCGAAAATCTCCTTGGTCATTGTTGGACAGAAGGAAAAATCTGTCTTGTTCAGGCCATGTTGCCTGCAGCAATTTCCCTCCCAACCTAGGGTCATTTTTTGGTTTGGTTGTTTTTTAACAAGAATGGTGGTTTTATAGATCATTGGTTTAAAAGGAGACATAAATTTATAAAAGAGAAAGGAGTGGAACTTCTCTTTTCCTTCAGACTCAGCCCAGGGAAATTTTCTCCCTTCTCTGTGGCTGCTTAGAGCAGGCACAGAACACAGCAGAAGAAATGCTCATCTGGGCGGGACTATTTCCCTCTTCCTGTGTGCATTCTGCTTAGCTGTCATGGGACCCTGGATGAGAGGAACGGTCTCTCTTGACCTCCACACAGGGACCAACCCTGACCATGAGCAGGAGTCAAGCAACAAAACAAGCAAGTGTTCCTGCTCCCAGAGTGGGACAGGTGGGGGTTTTTGGGGTTTCTCTGGGTAACCTGGCAGAGCCAAAAGGATTTGGGTCCCCAGTAACACAAGTGTTAAACCAGGGGTTTTCACACCAGATAAAGCCAATGGTCAATACAGGAACACAAAACTGACAGAAATACACAGAAAGAAACAGAGACACAGTAAAGACAACCACGGGTGGCCACCACACACCCATACACCTAAACAGACAGCATCCAGGGACGTCTCACTTAGATCCTGCATACTGCATCAGCAGTGTGTTGAGCTCTCCTGTGTGTCCAAATGGAAGGCTCCTTAACCAGACTAACCCCTGGGAGGTGACAGACCAAGGCTACTTTCTAATTTGCTCTTTTTTGGGGGTGGGGGGCTGGAGGTGTCAGATCCCTCTTAAGGGTTAGGCAGCAGCTGATTTAAGGGAACCCTGGGGATCTGGAACATTTCAGGTTGCACACCCCTAGAAGCCTCCTGTCCGTTGTACTCTTCCTTACACCAAGGGATTCTGAGACCCCTGGTATCTCCAAGTCTGGTCTCTGGGGTCTCAGTGGAACCTCCAGAAATGTTGTGGGGGCCTTCACCAGAGAAGACTACTCGAACATGGGTTTCAGTCAGTAGAAAGTCTTTATTAGCTGGGCAGCAACTAGACTGGGTGCTAGGCATCCAGTGTAGCACTGAGCCTTTTTTAGAATGAGTTTTTAAGCATAAAATCCATGTTCTGGGTTAACATACTTCAGCTAATAAAACAATCGAAAGCGGAACAACAAAAGTTAAAAAATTTAGAGACTTTCCCAGAACTATGTGGACTTTGCCTTGTTTTGGTTTTGTCTACGTGCTGGGATGGGCTTTTGTTGATACAACTCTGAGTCATTTCTGTTCCTGTAAGTAACTCCTCACCCATCTTCCTGTAAGGACCCCAGTAAAACTTTCTGGTTCACCAAGTTGGACTTTTCTTTTTCTTTCTTTTTTTTTTTTTAAAGACAGAATTCACTATATATCTCTGGCTTGCCTGGAATGTGTTCTGTAGATCAGGCTGCCTGCCTCTGCCTCCCAAGTCCTGGGACTAAAGGTGTGCACCATCATCTCTGGTCCCAGGTAGGACTTTGTATTCTTACTTTTGTCTGTGTCTGAGGCTCCTTATTTGGGGTGAGTAAATGTTTGTTCATGTCTCCCAAAGAATAGTGTCACAAAAAGCTATGACACTCTTAAACTGTTCAAAATGAAATACCGCTTTATGGGACTTACTGTTCCTCTGGGGTCCTGACTAGCACGCTAATGCAATCCAGAGCCTTAACTGGTGGCTTCCCTAACTTTGCAATTTGAGTTCTAGTTCCTCAAATACTTTCTTGGTTTCTTATTAAAGGGCTTCTATGGGATTCCGGGCCAAAACAAAAGAATCAGATCAGGAGATAACCATCCCCAAGATTTACCTAGCTGAAGGAGAGATCTGACCTCTGCTATATGGCATGTGTGTACCTCACTACAAACACACAAAAAATAAGGAATATCTAATAAAACATTTTTAATAATGTTTTAATAATGTTCTTTTTAATAAAAGAAAGAGGAGCATAAGGATGAGGTGGGAGAGGAAATTGTTCAGATATGTATGAAGTTAGTGTAGACTACTGGTTCTTGATTATTGTGATATGATTGTAAAATAGCCCTTTTAGGCTGCTCATGTGTTTGACTATTGTCGTCCAGTTCCCAGTGCTGCTTGGGTAGTTTGTGAAACCTTTAGGAGGCGGAGCCTCACTGCAGGAAGTGAATACTTCTGGGTTTAGAGCCTGGCTCAGCTTCTTATTTTCTCTGCTTCTTTCCTGAGGATGCAATTTGGCCAGAAGCCTGTGCTCCTCCTACCACACCTTCCTTGCCTCGATGGAATGTATGCCTTCAAACTGTAAGCTGGAATGGACTTTGTCTCTTTTAAGTTGCTTCTGTCAGGGCATCTTATCCCAGCAAAAGGAATAATGCAGCTTGTGCTGGCAAACATGAAGTAACCAAGCAAAGCTGCCAAGTCATGGCCAGTTCCTTCTGTAAAGAGGAGGAACAGGAAGCTAGTCCTTCAGAAGGATAATTCCTGGGGGATTTTATATACTAGTGATAAGTGGTTTGTTTTTTTAAGTCTTATTAAATATTGTTAAATGTGATAGTTTCCACATGATGGCCAGTTGTACCTTTAAATGAAAAGGTGAACTTTACCTTAAAGGTCTATCATTTGGCACACACACATAAGCCCAACACTCAGGAGACTGAGGCAGGATGATATCAACTTTGAGGCTGATTTGGGCTTATAACAGGACTCTGTCCCCAAAACAAAATAGAAACAAATGGAACAAATTAAAAACTTTAGGTTGCTGAAGTTTTTGCAGAAATATAGGTAGTAGACAAATTTCAAATTAGATAAGACAGATCAAGGCAGAGTATGTGAAGTGTTATAAAGAGAGTTTGTTCAACCTACAAAAAGATATTGAACTAGGATAATTGAAATGCTGGGAATGCAGGCAAGGGTCTATGGTTAGTGGGGTGTTTGTAAGTTTATGCCTTTGCTTTAAGTAATGATTCATTTCTAGAATGAACTTTATATGTGACCCAGTTGTTGAGGAAGTAAATGAGAGAAGCTGCTGTAGACTAACTTGGTCATTTGCTCTGAATTGTGTGGAATGATGACCTGAAGGTCAATGCCATCCATAAGGAAGGAAACAGAAAGATCTCAAGTCTAGTAAACCGGATGGTGGTGTTCAGGCGAATCATTAGACTTGACATCCAAAAAGGAGGAAAGAGATGGAGTTACTTCTGAAATTTCAGAATATGATAATTTATGCCAATGTTCCACCTATTTATAGTCTGTTCCACCAACTCCTCAGATTGTCAAAGCACCATAGTAAGTCTCTCATTTGTTACAGCCTTGTTGAATTAAAGAAACATTCTGGGGGGCTAGAAAGATGGCTCAGTGGTTAAGAGCACTGGCTTAACTTCCAGAGGACCAGGGTTCAATTCCCAGCACCCACATGGCACATAACTGTCTGCCACTCCTGTTCCAGGATACCCAATACCCTCATGCAGGCAGAAACTTTCTGATGACACCAAAACAGAATCCATAGTCTCTTTACAACAGTTATGATTGGGTGCATGGTGGGAAACGCCCATTATCCCAGCATTCAGGATGTGGAGGGTGAGGACTGTTGTGGACTCCCTTGGGTCCCTGTCTCAAATGCACATATCAAAGAAACAAAATACCCAAGTAGGCAGTTGTTCTGAGAGTGCCATGCCTGCTGCTGTCTTTACAGTGTAGTAATGTACAGTGTACATTTCTTTCTAAATGAACTAAAACAATAAAGAATGTGATGTGATGAAGGTCTTGGGCTTGAAATGAGGACCTAAGGGCATTTGTAGTGATCTGTGTAAAATAGTCGGAAGGTAGTGAGAAAACTTTAATGGTGTGATTAGACCATGACACATAACATATTGCCATATCTAAACCTGATAATTAGAAGCAAAGGACAATTAAATTGTCTGTATGAAAAATGCACTTACAGATTTTAGAGTGAAAAATGCCCACACTTGAACAGTAATGTGTACACTAGCATTATTCGTAAAATCTAAAACAGTATAATCAAATCAAATGCATGGGTAAGTATGAGTGGTTAAATAAGATACGACATGCAGAAATATAGTATTTGACAAGGGAGTGTGAAGTACTGATGCATGTTATATTGCATGGATGAATCTTGGAAACATTACGCTAAGTGAATGTAACCAAATAGAAGGACTACATATTATAATTTAGTCTTGTGATATATCCAGGATATGTAAATGTAAAGAGACACAGTAAATTAGGGACTCATCACTGTCTGCTTCCTCACAATTTTACCAGCTACCTCAAGCTTCTGGGACCACGGTTTCCATGCTATTAATGACTGTTCCCTGGAATTGTAGAGATTTTAGCTTGTGCCCCTCCCTCCACATGAGGCTCTCCAGGGAAAGATCAGGGAGCCTCTCAGGGGGAGGGACTTCCCCCTTTTCTTCCCTGAATTTCGCTGTGCTACCCGCTGGAGACTTTGCATCCTCTATCCCACAAATTCGTACTGTGACTCTAGCCTTCAGAGGTATGCTAGCTAGGAGAGACTCAGTCCCTTTCTGAAGAGTTTACACAGAAGACTTTAAAAGTTGTCCAGTTCAGGCTTCTCTGAGATGTAACCCGGAAGAAATCTTTTTCTCTAGATGATTCTCTTTAAATTTTTTTAATTATTATTTGAGAGTCTCAAATATATATTATATCTTTTTAAATCTTTCCAAAAATTTATTGGCTGTATATATTCTGTGACTTTGTGTGTTAAAATCTTAAAATTTGGCTATTTTCTTTAAAGCTTTTAAAATTTATTTTAATTTATTTTTTGAGTTTGTATACATGCATATAATGTATCTTGATCATACACCCCCTTAGAGCCATGCACAGACCTCATACAGTTCCCTTTCCCATCTTCATGTGTCCTTTTTTTCCCATAATCAACTGAGTTCAGCTGGTGCTGTCTGCATGAGTGTGGGGAACCTACAACTGGTCACACCTCTGGAAAAAAAGACTGTCCCATAGCCGCCATAAACTGCCTATAAGCTGTTCAGTTGTGACCTTATGAGCCACTTCCCTGTCTGTGCTAAGAATGTTGACTGACTTAGTCTTATGAGGTCTTGTGCAGTTAACCACAGTTGCTATGAGTTCATGGGTTCAATGTCCATGTCATATTCAGAAAACATTTTACAGCTTTCCTCCTCATTTTTTAACTCTTATTTTCTTTCTCTCCTCTGGTCCATGATGTTCCCTAAGATAAGGTTGATATAGCTGTCTCATTGAGGGCTGATCATTCTCAGCCCTAAGGTGAGGTTGAAATAGCTGTCTCATTGAGGGCTGATCATTCTCAGCCCTAAGATAAGGTTGATATAGCTGTCTCATTGAGGGCTGATCATTCTCAGCCCTAAGGTGAGGTTGATATAGCTGTCTCATTGAGGGCTGATCATTCTCAGCCCTAAGGTGAGGCTGATATAGCTGTCTCATTGAGAGGTGATCATTCTCAGCCCTAAGGTGAGGCTGATATAGCTGTCTCATTGAGAGCTGATCATTCTCAGCCCTAAGGTAAGGTTGAAATAGCTGTCTCATTGAGGGCTGATCATTCTCAGCCCTAAGGTGAGGTTGATATAGCTGTCTCATTGAGAGGTGATCATTCTCAGCCCTAAGGTAAGGTTGAAATAGCTGTCTCATTGAGGGCTGATCATTCTCAGCTACTCATCCTGAGAACTTTGACCCAATGAGTCTATACATGGCTTCTACCCTCTGCAGAAGGAACTTCTTTGACCAAGACCGAGAGCAGCACTAATGTATGGGAATAAACATTAATATTCAGAGAGCAGCTTGACAAGACAACCACAGAGCAAAGCATCAGTAATATGTTGCTGCCCTGGTTGGCTTTGGAGGTCAGCTTGACACAGCCTAGGATTATCTGAGAGGAGAATCTCAGTAGAGGAAATTCAAGGATCAGATTGCCCTGTAGCCATGACTGGGAATATTGTCTTGACTGTTACTGTCAGAGGGCCCACTGCGGGCAGTTCCATCCCTAAGCAGGTGGTCATGATTTATTTAAGGCTAGCTGATTATAAGGTGGGCTGTGAGCCAGCTAGCAAGCAGCGTTCTGCACAGTGTATTGTAACAAATAATAAAAATGCAGAGACAGATATTGGGGTTCATCATGAAGATCAGAAAAGCAAAGCAGCCAACCACTAGAGAGACCTTTTACCTCTACCAAATCTTCAGACCTAAGGGACAAGATCCAGATCCTGTCTTCAGGAATCCTCAGACTTCACATTCCACTGAGTTCCTGTCTTTTCCCCTTTATATTCCTCTCTCCACCCAGCCATATCTCTCCTGTTGCCACCTCCCTAGTGCTGGTATTAAAGGTCTGTGATCCCAAGTGCTGGGATCACCTTTGTGTGAGCTCTGTTTCTCTTTTAGACAGATTCAATCTTGGGCAGCCCAGAGTGGCCTTGAACTCACGGAAATTCATCTGCCTCAGTCTCCCGGAGTCCTGGGATTAAAGGTGTGTGCCACCACTCCCTGGCCTAAATGGCTGATTAGTGTGACTACTTTGCCCTCTGACCTTCAGGCAAGCTTTATTTATTAAAACACAAAGAATACTATTATATATCCCTTTTTTTCTAAAATAAAGAAAGAAGGCTATAACTAATATAAGAAAAACTATATACAATAAGTACAATAACTATATATAATATATACAGGCAATAAATACATCAACAATGTCTAGTTCATTTGCTTTTGACAAATACAGAGAAAATACTCCCTTATCTATCCTATCTTGGTGAGTCCAAAGTCTTGTACGTAATTTACTTACTATCATAACTTGCTTTCTGCATCTGGTAAACAAGGAAAACTGTAACTTTCTAGTCTTCAACTCCCTCAGAGACCCAAGAAAAAAAAATATTAACTGAATAAGCAGAAAATACAAGCAAGTGACTTCCAAAAAAAGAGAGTAATGACAGAAACAGCTGGCTGTCTGAACAGTCACCCTAAGTTCCTCTGCAACATTGGGGCATCTATCTTTGGCCTATAGGCCTATCCTATCTTACAGACTTTTCTGTGAAGCAGAATATTCTGAAGGGCTGTCCCTCCTTGTCTTGACAATGTTTGGCAATCACTTTCTTTTGTGTCTTGCTTGTCCAATTAGGGCAGTATACTGTCAGTCTATGCTGTCCTTATTTGCCTGTGAAGTGAGTTCCTTATTTGGAGGTGATGTTGTGTGCAATAGCAAACAGACCTGCCTTCAGGTTCCTGACTTGACTTTCCTCAATATTGGACTGTAACCTGCACTTGTATACTAAAATAAACCTTTCCTTCTTGAAGTGGCTTTTGGCTCTTGGTCATAGAATTCATTACATCATGAAAGAAAAGAATTAGAAAAAAAGATGAAAAAAATTAGAAAAAAGTAATTAGAGCAGTTCCTCCCTAGGGTATTCTGCCTTGTGGTGGGCATGGCTTCAATCCCAGCACACAGGAGGCATGGCTCAGCAAGTAAAGGCACCTGTCTGACGACCTGAGTGTGATCCCTGGGATACACTTGGTAGAAAGAGAACAAGTTGTTCTCTGACCTCCACACAGTTGCCATGCATGAGTCTCTCTCTCTCTCTCTCTCTCTCTCTCTCTCTCTCTCTCTCTCTGTCACACACACACACACACACACACACACACACACACACACACTTTCAAAATGTAATAAAAATGCATTAAGATATCTAGCATTTGAGAGACTGAAGCAGGAAGATTACCGTACGTTCAAGGCTAGCCAAGACTATACAGCAAGAACACAGTAAGCTCAAGGATATTGGTGCTCTGTTAAGGAGCTGGTCCATGCTTTCTTTTTTATTCCTATTTTACAAGAACTTAAAAATTAAGCTCGGAAAGGGGGAAGGATGCCAATGTACATTTAAGATGCTCCCAGAGTATATTTGTTTATTTAGTATTCTTTTTGGGGGGGAGTGGAGAGTGGCGGTTTGAGACAGGTTTTCTCTGTGCAGCCCTGACTGTCCTGGAACTTGCTCTGTAGACCAGACTGGTCTCAAACTCAGAGATCTGCCTACCTCTGCTCCCAAGGGTTGGGAATAAAGGTGTGCACCACTACAACTGGCTATCACAGAAGATATTTAAATTCTCTTGCTTACTCTTACAAACTAGTGATGGAAAGTTTCAATTTGATTCAACGGGGAAGCACTGCTTCATTATATACATGAATCCGAATTATCTAAGATTGAACTGAAAGTTGCAGTTAATAAAATAACCACTAGGAGGGGCTAGTTACAGGAGAAAAACAAGACCTAAAATGATAAAATTTTAGGATTTACTTGGATTATTCTTAATAACCCCAATTTACAAAACTAATATACTAGATACCAGATAGAGATAAAGTTGAACAAAACTTGGCTAGGTTTTTTGATTCCTGGAGAAATTTTGTGTCATGTTTGAATTTTTTGGTAAACTTCAGTTCTCAAAGTTACTGGGGTTGGATGGGCAGGTGTCTGGAGAAAAGGAGTGAATTAATGTGTGGTTTGAATGATAACAGGCTCTGGTGGGTTTTGATGGAGCCGCACAACCTTAGTTCCAAGGAAGTATCAGTCACATACTTGTGGGTATGCTGGAGCCTCTTGTCAAAGACCATGACTGCCACCCCGGATGGCCACTGAGATATTGGACTCGGAGTCATCAAAACTGCTGACAGATCTTTTCCCATGCGAAATCAGTTCTCAGTTTGTAATCAGACTTTTCTTCCTGTTACAGAGAGACACGAAATTCTGCTATGTGAAGTCCCATTGCAGGGAGCTACCTGAGGAAGAAGCAGGACCCTGACTCTTCTGAAGGTAAAGAATCTCAGGTGACCACTAGCCAGACATCCACCAGAATCCTTAAAACTATGCGTGCGGCTGACTCAGCAATTCTGATTTCAGGACTTTATTCTGAGGCAATGTTAAAGCTTGGAGAAAAGGTTTTGTTTTGCATATTGGAATGTTTGTTTATGAAGAGAAAAATGGCAGTGGTCTAAATGATCTGCTGTAATTAGCCATTGAGAAGTGTTACTGAATTAAACAACACCAGCAAAACAAACAAAACCAAAAGCACTGCACAGAAAAGAGATTGCCTTGCAAACCCGAGTTCAGTTCCTGGATCCCACTGTGGAGGGAGGTAGGAGAAAACAGCTTCCAAAAGTTGTTGTCTGACCTGCACAGGAACACTGTGGTGCAGGTGTGCCCACGTTCAGAAATCACAACTATGCTCACACAAAAAGTGTTAAGGGAAAATCAAGGTTTCCCTTTTTGGGTTCTTGAGTCTTGCGAATTAAAACATTTATAGAATCAGAAGGAAGCTCAGGGATCATTTGTTAGAGTTTCAGAGGAAAACAATGGGGCAGCAAGCTATAAATATGGCAACTGGCAGAAGGAGAGAAATGGAGAAAAGGAGAGAAAGTTATGCTTTTGAGTTAGGACCCTAGAGCTCAGACAAATTCAGCACTGGATTTCGGTAAGCAGCTGCATGGGCTGAGACCTCCACAAATGCAAACTCTAAAGCAGCAGAAGCCCCTGCTTAGGCCTTAGCTCAATATCCAAAGAATAATAGGAAGAAAAAGGAAAAGTTACATGTTTAAAGAATTTTATTTATTATTTGTTTTTACGTATGCATGCCTATGCAACCAGTTGTGAGCCTGGTGCCCATGGAGGCCAGAAGAGGGCGATAAATCCCCCTGAATCTGGAGTTAGACCATTGGGAGTGGTCACGTGGATTCCGGGAATGGAACCCAGGTCCTCTGGAAGAACATCAGTGCTTGTAACCATCGAGCTTTTGAATTAGAACTGAGAAAACTGGGGAGGCTTAGCAGAAAGACATGACGGAAGATCCGTAAATAACGTTATCCTTTGAGGAGATAACTGTCCCTTCATTTTCTTAGCATATCTTCAGGTGAATCAGATTTCCTGGGGAGTGGTCTCTTGGTTGGGTAACTGACAAGCCTGTTGGATTAGCTCTTAAAGTAGGAGACAGTAATATAAATATTCTAATCTTTGGATAAGATCACAGTGTCACAAGGGCAAGGAAATATAAAAGGAAGAACTCAGATAAGGGAGTAAAAAATACACAAGTCCTGGTTGCAATGCTGTCTCTAGCAACTAGCTAGACAATGTATAAGTAGGTAGTGGGGAAATAAAAACAGTTTACTCTTGAAGGGAACCCAGAGTCTTGTGTCTCCATCTACTATTGCTCACCTTTCTACTTTCTATGTCTCTGTGACATTCATGGCTGTGCTGGCCGAGGTAACTCATGAGTGTGTGTGTGTGTGTGTGTGTGTGTGTGTGTGTGTTCTAGCCTAGTATGCAAAAAGCATTGGGCTCAATCTCTAATACCCAACCTAGACACTGAAAGAGCTCAGGGCTTGGTTAATCCAAGCCTGGTAGCCAAAATAGAGAACCTGACTTCAATCCCCAAAAACCACCCCAGTACATTGCAGATTTATATTTGCTCATGGTACAATGTAACTTTTAGCTAAGAGAAAAATAGTTCATAAAATAAATTCTGTAGCACTTATAACAATAATTATGTACCTGAGTCAGAAGAATAGGGAATAGGGTGAGGAAGAGGCTCCAAAGTGATGTGGGATTCCCCTCTGTATGCTGTGAATACCATTGGTTAATAAAATACTGACTGCTTTGAGCCCATAGCAGAGCAGGGCGGAAAGAGCTAGGTGGAGAAAACTAAAGTGAATGCTGGGAGAAAGAAGGGCTGAGTCAGAGAGAAGCCATGTAGCCCCACTAAAGACGGACACCAGAACTTGACCTGGTAAGCCATGGCTTCTTGGCAATACACAGATTCCTAGAAATGGATTAAATTAATATGTAAGAGTTAGCCAATAAGAAGCTAGAGCTAATGGGCCAAGCAGTGATTTAAATAATACAGTTTCTGTGTGATTATTTCAGAAGTCTGGGCGGTCACGAAATGAACTAGCAGCCTCCTTGTAACACCAAAGATTAAGATCAGCAGTGAAGGACTGGAAGCCCTTACCCACCTGGGCTTCATTCCACCAAGGGAGCATGCTCAAGAAGAGCTAGCTTTGTAAGAACACTGGGAAAAGCAAATACTGTACAAAATTTTGTGAAATGTCATGCAGATCTATCCCTTTCCTCTCTTGGATCCGGGTCACGATCAGGCCTGACATCATTCGTAGCTGGTCAGAATCTCTCCTGTAATAAACTATCTCCTTCATGTAACTATCCATGTGCTCTATACACAGCCATGGTAAAGTGGTATAAGAGCCCTGAATCCTAGTGGCTGCCTACCAGACTCAGATCCTCACCTGCAACAGTGGGGCATCTGGAGTTTGTAAGCCAGGGCGCAGTCAAGCCACCGAAATGGACCACTCATGGGAGAAAGAAAAGTTGATTTGGGAAAGCAAACTGCCAGGTATTCCCTTGGAGGGCAGAGAATAGCATCCTGGGGAAAGCCTTGTCAATTTTAAGCGGACAGGTTGTAATGAGAGGAGAGGTGTGGGCCAGAGCAGCCTAGGAGTTCGTGCAGGCCATTTGGGTTATCAGGAACTAGATGCCTTTGTCTCAGAGAGCTGACTGTTGGGGGCAGGTGGATAGGGAAGTAGTGGTTTCCTGGTAAACAGAAACTTGCCTTTTGAGATTCTTGAGGAAAGCTGAGTTTAGCTTCTGTTTACTCAGTGACCTTCAGTTTACCTACCTGGGTTAGGATGTTGATGCTAACATTATCATTTTGGGGTCCTCTTTGGGCTTAACAGAGTTTAGATGCAGAGCACGAAACCCGAAAACTGTGCTCACAACACACAACAGTTTCAAAGAACTGAGTAATTTTATGAAACTGCCGGTACCAGCCTATGGAATAATGTATATATTTTTTCTGACATGCATTGTAAATAAATGCCCATGTCACAAAAATGATTTCATAATTAACGTTTGGCACTGGTCTTGGTGATGCAAACCTGTACAGCATTCTGGAAACTGAGGTTGTCTGGGTTGTGTTCCAAGAGGCTCTTGGCCTCTTATTCAAACAACTGAAAATAAGGGCTCACGAATTTTTAAAAGAAGCAAAATAACTGTCCAGAGCAAAGTGATGTTATACAGATTTAGAGAGGGATACACTGTCAGATCGACAAATGGCCGTGCGGACGAGAGTGCTGAAGGGCCCTGATCAGCGTTTGGAGGCTTTCGTTCATAGGGCTGAAGAAAAGGACCGGGTTTGGTCACTGGTAGTGAGAATAGTTCTCTATTTTGGCTGAAAGGCTTAAACTAACCACGCCTTTAGTTCCTGAGCATGTCCTTCCCATAATGCATCTGACTTTCTTCTTATGCATACTAATTAAGCATAATTTGCATAAATGTTTTACTTCCTTGCACATGCCCCAAACCAGTTCAGGCAAGATCAACCTGTTCATTCTTCCTTCCTAATACATTGTTGATACACTTGATTAGAGATTGTCTAAACTTGATTATTGCCAAGTGCTTTAGAGATGAGAGTAGTCCACTGCAGGCTGGTGTACCCGGCTGCTTAGTCACTGCTTGGCCAATCACTTAAGCGTATTGCTAGCTAGCTCTTTTGTCTTTGGTTAACCCATTTCTATTATTTTATATTTTTCCACGAGGATCGTGGCCTACCAGCAAAGTTTCAGCTATAGCTTGTGTCTTTTTCCTCTGGTGGCTCCATGGTGTCTCACAACTCTGCCTTCTTTATATATCTTTTCCAACCTGACTATATTCTGTTAAGCCATTGGCCAAAAGCAGCTTCTTTATTCATTAACCAGTAAAAGCAGCACATATATAGGACTTCCCACACCAGGCTTGAGTCTGAAGGAGGGGTGTGTGTAGTATATATATAGGTTATTGCAAGAGGAAAATGTGCATAACCTAAACCAAACAGGGTCTATGGCTAAACAATATCCTATAATGCCTGCCTCAAGTTCTAGGCTGGCATGGGGTACATGACATGATTCTAATCCAAAATAACAAGCAAAAAAAAAAAAGGAAGAAGAAGAAGAAGCCTTTATAAATGGAACCAGGTCTGTTTGTCTTGTTCATCGCTGGTCCTCGTGGCACACAAGTAGACAGCGATTATTTCTTGAGTAAACAGATGAATACTGATGTTTTATAATTTCCCAAATAACTTTCCTTTCGTTTTGACAATCCAGGTATTTCTTCAATATATTCTGCCTTCTTTAAAAGCTGAGAACATGATCTGTATTTAAATTTTTTATTTCTTTTATTTGGTTGTGTGGGGCAGGGGCATGAGTATGTGTATCGCTGTGTCCATGTGGATGGAGGTCAGAGGACAACCTGTGGGAGTCAGTTCTCCTTCTACCATGTGGGTCCAGGGATTGACTACATGTGTCTTACCCACTGAGCCACTTCATGGACCCTGAATTCAAGCTTTTTATACTAAAAACCATCCTTGTCATCACCATCTGCTTTCCCTTTCCTTTTAGAAAATGGCTGCTCCCCTGGAGGCCTCTGAGGAGCGAGTTTCTGAGTTTGATTACAATTTTCTCCCTGAGCTCTCTGCTCTTCTTGATATGGACGTGGGTCAGCTTGTAAGGAGTCAAGAAGAAGAAGAGCATAAGTTACGAAAGAAAATGAAGAAAGGTTTTAACTCACAGATGCACAATGAAGCCAAACGATTAAAGACTTTTGTGACCTATGACACATTCAGTTCATGGACGCCACAGGAGATGGCAGCCGCTGGGTTTTACTATACCGGGGTGAAGCATGGTGTTCAGTGCTTCTGCTGTAGTTTAATCCTCTTTGGTACCAGCCTAAGGAAAACTCCCATAGAAAACCACCAAAGATGGCGTCCAGAATGTGCGTTCCTTTTGGGCAAAGATGTTGGGAACATTGGCAAGTATGACATAAGGGTGAAGAGTCCAGAGAAGCTGAGGGGCAGCAAAGCAAGATACCAAGAAGAGGAGGCCAGACTAGAGTCCTTTGAGAACTGGCCGTTCTATGCCCATGGGACATCGCCACGTGTGCTCTCAGCAGCTGGCTTCGTCTTTACAGGTAACTGGATTCCATTGTGTGATGTGTTTATATAAATATAAAGTTCAGTTTCATGTTTTTATTTGCAATATTTGTCAATTGTTAACGTTGTATCAGGTATAAACCTATTTTATTAAAATTCAACAACTAGTATAGAATCACTAACTTGCTCTATATGTGTTTAAGGAGAAGCGGGTTGCTTGTTCTTCCTGCCAACCGGCTAGCTTAACCCCTGAAATAATCACACAGAAATGTATTAATTAAATTACTTCTTGGTTCACTATCTCTAGTCTCTTATTGGCTAACTCTCACATCTTGATTTAACCCATTTCTATTAATCTGTGTTCACTACAAGGTCGTGGCTTACCGGGAAAGATTCAGCATGTCTGACCTGGTGTCTCCATGGTGGCTCTCTCCCTCTCTGCTTTCTTCCTCCCAGAATGCAGTTCTGTCTTCTCTACCTACCTAAGTTCTGCCCTATCAGGCCAAGCAGTTTCTTTATTAATTAACTAGTGAAAGCAACATACAAACAGAAGGACCTCCTACACCATATATGTATAAAATAAAAGGTTACTTTTCTTTAAATGTGGACATTAGAAAATATTGCTGGCTTGAGGGTGTAGCTTGGTGCCAGACTCCTTAGCTAGCATGTGCAGGGCCCTGGGGTACGCCTATGTCAGAAGACCATGGCTAGAGGGTGGAGGTCCCATGTTCAGAGGGGGTCATTTACGGCAGTGGGATTCTGAATGTAGATTCAGCCTGAGAGGTCATGAGGAGTCCATCTTGTTTCGGTACAATATGATCATCTCTAAGACACCTCTGGTGTTATTGCTGGCCAGTCAGAACATGTCACTGAATTGTAGGTAAAAGGGACACCGTGCAGTGTTTCTCCTGCGCTGGATGCTTGGGAAACTGGGAAGAAGGAGACGATCCTTGGAAGGAGCATGCCAAGTGGTTCCCCAAGTAAGTGAACAAATATTTTATGATTAAAATTTCAATTTTTTAAAAGAGCAAAATAAATTAGAGACAAAGAGGCACATTGTTGGAGTAGTCCCTTGAGTTCTAATCTTTCTCCTGTTCAGTATAGGATCACCCAGAATTTTTCAGGCAAGGAAGAGCTGGTCACAGTGATAAGTTTGAATCACACGAACTTATAGGTGGGTCTCTGTGACTTTGAGGTCATCCAGGTATACAGAGTGAGTTCCAAGACGGCCAAGGCTTTTATACAGAGAAACCCTGTATCAACCCCCACCCCCAATTTATTTCGCTTTCATTTTAAAACATTTTTTTTGGTTTGATTTGTTGCATGTGTATATAGTGTAAGTGTGGGCACATATATGGACCACAGGTTGACCTAGCCTGTCTTCCCTCTCACTCTGTACCTTGCTTGAGACAGAATCATTGAACTGAGCTCATAGATTGGCTATACTAGCTAGCAAGTGATCCTCTAGGACCTGCCTGTCTCTGCTTTTGCATGGCTAGGGTTAAAGTTATGTGTGACCATACTTGTTCACCTTGGTGTGTGTACCAGGGATTCAAACTCTAGGTCACCATGAATTTTTTTTTAAGTATTTATTTATTTATTATGTATACAATCTTCTGTCAGTGTGTGTGCCTGCAGGCCAGAAGAGGGCACCAGACCTCATTACAGATGGTTGTGAGCCACCATGTGGTTGCAGGGAATTGAACTCAGGACCTTTAGAAGAGCAGGCAGTGCTCTTAACTGCTGAGCCATCTCTCCAGCCCATGAATTTTTTTTATAATTGCACATCTGCCACTTTAAATTTTATCTTCCAGGCTGGAGAGATGGCTCAGAGGTTAAGAGCATTGCCTGTTCTTCCAAAGGTCCTGTGTTCAATTCCCAGCAACCACATGGTGGCTCACAACCATCTCTAATGGAGTTTGGTGCCCTCTTCTGGCCTGCAGGCATACACACAGACAGAATATTGTATACATAATAAATAAATAAATATTTTTTAAATAATAAATTTTATCTTCCTCCTCTGTATACTTTAAAATTTACATTTGTTTATTTATTTTTATTTATTTATTGTGTATATAGTATTCTGCCTGCATGTCTGCCTTCATGCCAGAAGAAGGCACCAAATCTCATTACAGATGGTTGTGAGCCACCATGTGGTTGCTGGGAATTGAACTCAGGACCTCTGGAAGAGTAATTAGTGCTCTTAATGTCTGAGCCCTCTCTCCAGTCACATCACCAAATACTAAGATAATGTCTTGTCAAGAAGCACTTCCTGGATTTACCTTAACTAATAAATAAGTTACTCTATGCAGGGGTGGAAATGGTGCATAAATGAAAGAAAGTAAGAATGTTTAAAGCGTTGTAAGCAGTTTCACATACTGCAGAATATGTACCGAATGAAAATGCTTGCTGGATGCAGTGCTCACACTTGTAATCCCAGCTCGAGGAAGGTGGAAACTCGAGAATTAGGAGTTCAAAACCACCCTCTGCTAAAAGAACGAGAGGACCAGATACCTAGGTTGCCCACATCCCAGTGCCACAAGAGAAAAAAAGGTTTGTGTCCAAGATTCAAGGTTTTGTTATTGCAGTGGACAGTGGTCTTCAGATTGTGCAGAGGGAACATGACCCACATAAGAAGAGAGACAGTCCAGGGGCTGGCCCCACAGCTTGAAGGAGTGAGGCTTGCTCACACAAGAAGTGCCAGATAGAGGCAGGCTTGCACATGCAGGCTGCCTGACTCCAGTCCTGAAATGAAGCACTGCCCTCTTAGATGAATGTAAAATGCAGACAATAATCTGTAGCCGTAGGCCTTGCATAAGTCTACCACACGTTACGTGCAGTAACTGCTGTCCTGTCTGTCTGTCAGCATGAGCACAGGGCTGGCTTCAGAACTCAGCCTCTAAATTTCTTGTTGTTTCATTTATCCTTAGCTTCTTAGACTTCAGTTTTGAACACTGGCTTGATCACTTCTTTTATGAAATATTGGCAAAATATCTGAATATTTTCTTTTTGATTTTAGTATAATTTTAAGTTTTGAAACATGGACTTGCTATATATCTCAGACTGGCATCAAACTCACGATTCTCCTTTCTCCGACTCCCAAGTTCTGGGATTGTAATTTGTGTCAACATGTCTGGCAATTGCAATTTTTTTTTAAAATACCATTTGAGAAAGTAATGTTGAGGTGGGAGTGTAGGCACATGCCTGTAACCCCAGGCCTTGTGAGATGGAGGCAAGAGGAGCAGGAACTCAGGGTTTTTATCTTTGCTATCCAGAGAGCCTAAGGCAAGCCTGTCCCATATAAGACCCTATCTCAAGAGAAAAAAAAGTACTGAAATGTTTTAAAAGCAAGTTGGCTTATTATAATATTTGTAAAAGGACCAATAACCTCAGTTCACTATAGTCCACCCCAGGTGCTGTGTGCTACACGGGCTGCATTCAGGCCCAGAAGAATGCATGGAGAGGGAGGAGAAGTGGAGCCAGAATCCCTGGCCACCACAGACATCGAATCATGTGACCTTTTGAGTCATGTGATTGAGTTCATCTTCTTATGTGATTAGAAGGGACCAGGGCATTTCAGCATCCCATTGATGAAAGAGCTCTCAGCCCACTCCTCACCACACCATCAGAAAGAAACGTTCTTGTCAGTTAGAGCAATACTGTTTAGTCTTCAAAGTAGCTTAGTTTTTATGGAAAAGGAATGCCTTGCAGGAAGCTGTTCAATATACTTTGTAAAAAGTCAAAATTAAAAGGTTAATACCTGTTACTTTAAAAAAATTATCATGGTCTTTTTGTTTAGTAGGTGAAATATGGTACAACGAATTTTCATATTTTCTCTTTACTATTAGTGACTGATCTGCCATGGGAACTAGGCTTATCCCCTCAGAAAGGCCGAGTTCTCCCCACTCTGTCTCTGTGCCAGTCTCTCTGATGCTTTTTTTTTTTTTTACACCACAGTGCTGTGGTGTGTGCTTACAGCTGAAGCTGCTCCTGAGGCTGAAGATTGCTTCAGGCCAGGAGGTTATCACCAGCCTGGGCCACACAGGGACGCCCCATTATAAAATAAAAATAAAAGTGATCTGAAGATTCAGTTGTGAATAACCACATGTGTTGTCACTCATATAAATAAAAAACAGTGGTGCTTCTCATGAGAAACGTTGGAGTGAATTTTCTAACAATATATTTTAATTATGCCCCCCTCAACTCTCCAGTTCTTCCCAGATCTTCCCCAATTCACCACCCACACTGCTCAGCCAACTTTATGTTTTCTGTGTTTCAGCACAGACACACACACACACACACACACACACACACACACGGAAACCAAAATAAATAAATAACAAGTAAGACAACCAAACAAAACCCCCAAATGAAAGGGATGCCCATAAAAATAATATGGAGTTTATTTTGTGTTGGCCATCTCTTCCTGGGCCTGGGGCCTGTCCTGGAGTGTGGTTGTTATACCCAGTGACACTTCACTGGAGGAAACCGATTTCCCTTCATCAGCAGGGATCATTTGCAAACAGCTTCTTTTTTTTTTTTTTTTTTTTTTTGGTTTTTCGAGACAGGGTTTCTCTGTGGTTTTGGAGCCTGTCCTGGAACTAGCTCTTGTAGACCAGGCTGGTCTCGAACTCACAGAGATCCGCCTGCCTCTGCCTCCCGAGTGCTGGGATTAAAGGCATGCGCCACCACCGCCCGGCCTTGCAAACAGCTTCTTGATTAAGAGTCAGACTCTGTGTCTATATGCCCTCTGAGTCCGGGGCCCCATCTGGTTTGGGTCTGGGCAGGACTTGTGCCTACTATTGGGGCAAGGCTTTTTTTTTTTTTTTTTTTAACAGTTTTACTGATGTATAAAGTCCAGTGGTTTTATAGGTTTTATCAAATGCTCATTGTGTTTGAGAACACCTCTATTTATTGGGATGTATTTTAATTATAGGTGTGAATTTCTTCGAAGTAAGAAATCCTCAGAGGAAATTGCCCAGTATATTAAAAGCTACGAGGGATTTGTCCATGTTACGGTAATTCACAGCAGCAAACTCTTCCCACTGGTGTGGAGTCATTGAGGAGTTTTATTTTTTCATAGATTTCATGCTCCTACATCTCATCCGCAGAGTGGAGACGCAAAAGTCTTGCTAAGCTGCAACCATGTAGACGTGGTTTTTCAGGCAGACTTTGGGTGGCTTCTGCTACTTTCTCCGTCTTCTCTCTGACTGAGCCCACTTCCCCAGTTTCTTTTTGCTGCCCCCATCTAGGTGCCCGACCCAGTCTTCTGTCCTAGTACCTGGTGACAGCAGGGCTCTCAGAGCTGGCTCCCGCCCCTGGTTGTCTAGGGTCTACACTAGTAGGGACTTCCCAGTGGTAAGCGGTGAGAAACTTAGCCCACACAGAAGCCAAAGGAGAATGGAATGGCTGATGACCCAGAGGCTGTGTCTGCAGAGAGCAGGGCTGAGAGTCTGGGCGCAGTTTTCTCAGAGGGAGAGTTGCCCAGTTGGAAAGGTCCTTCTGAGGGGAGCTTCCTTCCCATGGCGCAGTTCCCCCTGAGCCAAATGCATCTGTGTGTGTGACTGCAGTTCTGTTGCTGAGCTGCGTGTCTGTTGAGAGTGACCCCGAGAAAGCTCCCATTTGCACAGGTAAACATTCGCTGCTGTCTGTACTGCATAAAATTCCCGAGATCAACAGAAATCGGACTAAAGGTCTGCTTTGCCAACACTTCCGCTGCTCTAGTGAAATGTCGCTTTAGTGCTGGGGGGCAGGGGAGTCCTTCAGTTGCAGCTCACAGACAGACGTCTATTTTATAAATCAGTTAGTAATCTGAATTTTTTTCCTTCAGGGAGAACATTTTCTGAATTCCTGGGTCAGAAGAGAATTACCTATGGTGTCAGGTAAAACCTCAGGCACTTTCTAAATGCTTTGCTTGTTTCTTTCCTTTCAGCAAGTGAGTTGAAAGCCAGTCTGGTTTTAACCAGTTCTGTTTCCAGGACAGCCAGGCGGGGCTGAAGGAAGGAAAGGAAGAAGAAAGGGAGGGAGGTAGGGAGGGAGGAAGAGAGGGAGGGAGGGAGGGAGGGAGGAAGAGAAGGGGGGAAGGAGGGAGGGAGGGAAGGAGGGAGGAAGGAAGGAAGGAAGGAAGGAAAGGAGAAAGAAGAAAATAATCAACCTACATTCTAAAACAAGCAAGCAAACAAACAATAATAAACAAACAAATAAATAAATGAGGCAAGTTGGTTGACTCCCTGATTGTGTTTTTTGTCCCCGTTCTTTCTTAAACAACACTAAAAGAGAGAAAAGAAAAATAACAACAATAAATAAATGAACAAATAAATATGCATACATACAAAAAGGCAGCTCCCTGGTCATTTATTTTCCCCTGCTTCTTTAGGAAAAAAGCAGCACACACACACACACACATACACACACACACACACACACACACACAAAACCCAAAGACAAGCAAATTTTACCAGCTGTCCCATTCTTAATAAATAAAAAAATTAAAAGGATGACTAATTGACCTCCATCTAAAGCTTTTAGAAAAAAAAATCTACAGAGCCAACTGATCAACCTCTGTGTTCAATAAAAAGACAACCAACTATAGGTCAACCTGTATACAATATTAGTATATATTAAAAAAATCACTAAAAGAAAAAAATAAATTATACTGCCTACCCCATCCTTATTTAAATAAGAAATTTTTAAAAATTTTAAAATAAAAATTCAATAAATTACACCACCAGCCCTGTTCTTATTAAAGAAGAAAAATTTAAGAGGCCAGCTGGTCAACCTCCATTTAAAAGCTTTAGAAACAAATTCCACAGAGTCAACTGGTCAACTTCCATGTTCAATAAAAAGACAACTAACTGGTTGACCTATATATTAAAAAAAAAGTTCAGTCAGGTCATCATATCTGGTTGACCCACGTCCAAGAGGAAGAAAAGAGCAGCTAAGTCCAGCCATATCTGGTTGACCCAAAGGGCAGGGTTTTTTTTGCCAAAAGAATATATGTATTGAGCATTTTAAGAGCTAGTAAGGCCTGGGTATAATGGCACACACCTAATCCCAGCATGTAGGAGGCAGAGACAGGCACATTTCCGTGTGCTCAAGGCCAGCCTGGTCTACATATTGAATTCCAGGCTAGCCAAAGCTACATAGTAAGACCCTGTTTTCAAAAACCACAAACAAAACAAACTAATAAGGGTTGGGAGTACCTTTAGAGAACAAAGGTCTTTAGAGAACAAAGACCCGGGCTCTATCTCCAGAATCCATGTGAAAAAGCAATGTGTGGCAGTATGGGCTTGTGATCTCAGCACTGGGAGGCAGGCATGTCCATCCTTAGATATCCATAGCCAGATAACCTAGTTGGCTTAGTGAGTTCAAGGCAAATGAGGGACTTTCTCAAAAAAAAGGGGGGGGGGAGTATTGAAAAATAACAGTGAACGTTGTCTTCTGGTCTCCTTGTATGTGCCCACAATGCACATGTGCCCACACACATACAGGTACCTGTACACACATGGAACACATACATACACATGTCAGTGGGGGGGGGAGGTAGAGGAGGAAGAGGAGAGAGAAACTAAGAGCTGAATATGCTCCTTGAAATGAGTGATGGAAAATGATCAGAGGAAGGAAGCCAAAGAGAAACTGAAGTGCCAACCTGCTCCTCCCAGAGAACACACATCGTGGTCCTAGGGAGCTATTCCCTATTATTCCATGGTTCGATAGAAGTAAAAAGTAAAATAAAATGAAGACATATAGACTGTAAAAATATTTTTCTTAGTTATTCTTGGATTGTATCTTTTATTCTTTTGTGCTTTTCTAACCACTCTCAATTATTTTGATGCAAGCACAGTACATCAGATCATTCCATCTACTCACACAGCTAACTTGAACTTTTCAAATGCTGGTCTCATATACATCTGTTTTTTTCTCTCTCCCCACAACTCCCAAGCTTACTGCAATGATAGTGTCTTTGCTAATGAAGAGCTAAGGCTGGACACTTTTAAGGACTGGCCCCAAGAATCACCCGTGGCTGTTGAAGATCTGGTCAGAGCAGGCCTTTTCTACACAGGTGAGTCAGTATTTGTGTCCATCTGTTGCTAAGGAAGAATGGGAGAAAGTAGGGTGTGGATCACTTTTTACCATATAGTGCTCACAGGAGAAACAAAATTCATTTCCTTAGTTTCAACCTATGAAGGATCTTCCACAAGTTCCTCATCTCTCTTTTGCTGCTGCCCCTCAGAAGCTCCACTTGGTAATAGACGAAACTCATTCCCCTCAGCTGGGTCACTGCCTAAAGTACAAGGAGAGGAAGGAAAAGATACGATGCCCTCCCTGGTTATCTTGCTAATGTTCCTCCTACCAGGTGCACTCCTGAGTTGAGATGGAGTTTTGTGTGGCTCTGTCACTGTGGTAACGTAGTACTGTGTGGTTGTCAGAGCAGTTCAGAATGTGAATTGTGGAGACACTTTACCTAACAGACGTGTTCCACTGGCACGAACGGTCTTTTTACCTCACAGTCTTAACCCTTTGTCCCTTCTTTATTGCGTCTCCTCTTGCCAGCCTTCATCAGGTCTCATGGGCAACGTGCTCCTATTTTTAGTGAACTAGACCTGGAAACAACGTGGGAAGAGACAAGGAATTCTTCACGATCTCACTTACAGAGAGCCCCTAAGCTTGCTCCTGTGTTTCTCCACCTCCGTTCCTCACGTGTCTTCTTTCTTATTGATTGCCTGTCTGTGAGAGTCCACCATGTCATCATTGTCCAAATCAGACAGAAATCTCTACTCCCACGGAGCTTCTGTTCTTTGAAAATCTCTTAGAATGACAGGGCTGAGATGGTCAAAATACACAGTGCACAGGAGCATTCAGTGACTGTTGCTGGCCACCCCATTGGAGGACCGAGAGTCCCCTGTGAACTGTTGCCCCCCATGACCCATGCATGACTTTGCCACACAATTCAATTGGGGATGTAAATAGGGTTTTACTCTCAAGATCTTGAGTTATTATCTGCGTGTGAGTTGATACGCATGTGTTGGAGTAACACACTGACCACATTTTCTTACTTCTAGGCATAAGGGACATGGTCCAGTGTTTCTCCTGTGGTGCATATATGTGGAAATGGGAGGAAGGTGACGACCCATTAGAAGATCACACCAGATTTTATCCCAAGTGAGCAGGATGAATTCCCATAACTTTGAATGTACTTCAGCGGTTATTCCGTCACTGCTCTCAAACCTGCTTTCTCTGTGGATAGTCTCTGCCCATCTTCCGGTTCCCACTATGAAGGACACATACTTTATCTTCATGTCCTTCCTCCCATGACATCTTCCCTGTCTAGCTTTCCTCTCATAGTTAGACTTGGTTTTTACTGGATATATATATATATATATATATATTGGTTTTTCAAGACAGAGTTTCTTCTCCGTGCTGCTTTGGAGCCTGTCCTGGAACTAGCTCTTGTAGACCAGGCTTGCCTCGAACTCACTGAGATCTGCCTTCCTCTGCCTCCCGAGTGCTGGGATTAAAGGCGTGTGCCACCACCACATGGCAATATATATGCTTTTAAAGACGGGATCTTGCTATATAGCTCATACCATTCCAAACTGTCTATGCAGCCCAGTTGAATTTGAAGTCATGACTTCCTTCATCAGCCTCTAAAGTGATGAGTGTCCAGGATGTGCGTGGCAGTTTCATACTGTTTTGATTCCTTTGATTAGAAACTACTTTCCCCCTCCTAGAAGCTTTTAGAATTTCCTATTTCCAATATCTAAGATTTCACACATAATATTTCTTTTTTTAAAAAAATTTTTTTTTTCCCAATGCTGGGAATGGAACCAGTAAATTGGGCGACTCTCATCCCCTTTCTGTGCTTCAAGTTTATTTTTACTCATTTTCTACACATAAAAAACTCTCTAGAAATGTTCAGTTGCAAGAAGAAATTTGTTATTTTTACTAAGTAATTATCTTGAATTTTTTCAGAACTAAATACCAGTATGTGCAGAGTTAAATGTGAGTGTTTTGACTGGACAGTGGTGCACACCCGCAGTCCTAGTTCTCAGAGAAGACACTGTGTGGTTTTCTTTCATATGAAATCATTTAGTACGAGTGACTTTAAAACCACTTTATTTTTAAAGTCAAGCAAGTGAATACAGAAAAGCACAGTTGAAGATGTCTTTTGGTATGGCAGCCTTTGCAGGCTTGGAGAGCGTAGCCGCATGGAAGCCCGCTGTTCTGTTCTGTTCCACAGGTGCCCTTTGGACATCGAAAGCATAAGTAAAGTTGCACTACATTATTTTGATGCTAGAAGAATTTAAGTTTTGTTTAACTTTTAAAGACAACGCTCTGTTTGTGAGATAGAATGGTGATAGTAGGACAAACCCTTAGACATATTCTTCTAAAGGCTATTACTATATATTAGTTTTAAGTAATAATGGGTTTAATTTTGACATTTTTATACATGTATACAGTGTAGTTCAGTTATGTTTACCACCATCCCCCTGTTACCCTCACTTGTCTTCCTTTCACTCCCATTAACTCCTCCTCTTGGGAGCATGTGTTGGAGGCCAGCTGGGACTCCATAGTGAGATCCCATCTAAACTTCCTTAACTAAGACTGTTTTATTCTCATTGTGAGTTTGAAGATGCTTGAGAGCAAGGCTCACTTTTTTCTTTTTACTTGTGTGTAGTAGATAGTAAATTGGGAAGACAGGGCCTTCTTAATCCTTGTGCTGATAAGTTAGGATGCAGTCTAGTTTCATTTAGAGCTTTTTCTAAAAAAAAAAAAGTCTATCAACTCCATCTTTATGTGAAATTTTTTTTGTTTCTTCTGCCTCTTTTTTATTTTAAATTACCAACTGTCTTTATGTTAGTACCCAGAATATTTTCATGTACGTTTGTGGTGGTTTAGATGAGAAATGTCTGCCATAGCTCATATATCGGAACCCCGAGTCCCTAGTTTGTGGCATTGCTTGGGAAGGTTATAGAACTTTTAGGTAGAGGATCCACACTGGAAGAAATAAGCCACTGGAAGTGTGCTTTGAGTGTGTATAGCCCTGCTATACTTCCAGTTAGTCCTCTCTGTTTCCTATGTTTAGTGGATTTTTTTAAATCTTTGGGGGCCCACCAGACAGCACCCAAATAAGTACATGGAGACTTAGTCTTACTTATGAATACCTGGCCTTAGCTTGGCTTGTTTCTAGTCAGCTTTTCTAACTCAAATAAATTATCCTGTTTTCATTTCTCTTTAACTATGTTTTGCCTCTTGGATTTTTACCTTTATTTGTTCTATTTTCTTTCTTTCTTTCCTTTTTACTCTGTGGCTGGCTGTGTGGCTGGCCCAATGGCATCTTCCTCTCCTTTTCCTTTTTTCACTCCTCTGCTAGATTTCTCCTATTTATTCTCTCTGCCTGGCAGCCTTGCCTATTTCTTTCTCCTGCCTTGCTATAGGCCATTCAGCTCTTTATTAGACCAATCAGGTGTTTTAGGCAAGCAAAGCAGCACAGTCAGGTTCCTGGTGTGGGTGTGGCTAGGGGACAGCAGAGGCTGAGTGGAAGAGACTTGTAGGTTCTGTACTGCTTCCTGCTGGCTCTCTCCTGGAGGCCAGATGGATGTGGCTATAATGTCCACCCTGTAGTACTGGCTTGCCTGTTTGTGATGCTCAAATAAATGGAAGCATAGGGCATGATTCTTTAGAGGTTGGCTTGTTTTGTTTCACATTGTTTCTCAGACTAGCTTAGAAGTATGAACACGTTTTTAGTTCACTTGTTTTTTGGCACATAGCTTACAATAACTTATTCGTGCTGTTGATTTAATGCTTGGGCTATTTTGAGTGTTGCCCTGTGGATATTCGCCTATGTATTTTCTAATGCTCATATGTCTTTCTCGAAGACACAGAAGAAAGTATGGAATCTTAGTTGTACTGATGCACATTCCTACTAACATAGATAAGCTTACACTGCTCTGAAACTTTTCAACTTGACATTGTATTGTGGGTGTTGTGGTACAGGCGTGGGCTCAAGCAAGTCCGTCGAAAGAAGGCTCAGAGACACTTTGAGAATGAACTTAGCCTTTTGCAGCTGCAGGGGTCTCCAGCCTTGATGGACTGAAGTACTTCCCCTTCACCCAGGGCATTTTTATTTTTCTCAATATTTACAATTATGCCAGTTGATCTCATATGCTCAAAACAACCTGATGAAGCTTCTAAAAATACAATGCCAAGCACAGTCTTGGTAAAGGGTTTCTCTCCCAACCTTTGTATCTTGGGAAGCTCTCAGACAAGATTCACATAGAGCAACAAAAGGTATCTGTTTCTTGGAGTTAAATATTCACCTCTGTTCTTTGCAACCCTGCTTCTCGTCAGTTTCAATGGTTTTTCTCATTGTTGCTGCCATCTCAGTGATCTTGTCAACACTTGCTTGTAACTCTTTCCCATTTGTTTCCAAGTGCTTCCTCTCCAGTGCCCGTGGAAGTGCTTTAAGGATGTGCAGAGATGTACCACGGAAGAGCCGCCTGCTGTTGTTGAGATGTGCTAGGCTAACCTTGACTGTGGCTCTTCTGACTGCAGTATCACATCTCGGTCATCATTTTTCTATCCCTCAGCACTCTATAAACTTTTGTTTCAGGTACTTGCTCATTCTTAGTTTCAGTGCAGACTGGTGTTCTTCCAAAAATGTCAGCTCTTTGTCCTCTTGCTGGATTCTCACAGCTAGCGTGACTGTGGTTGACGTCTTGCAACATCATTAAGTTCTTGATTATTTTCCCGATGCTGCTAATTTGCTTCCACTCACTTGCTGAGAGTAGTGAGTGGTCTGCTCAGTGAGAGACTGCTGTATTTTCCCGGTCTCTCAACCTTTCAACAAGGACTTTGGTGCCAGAAAGTTCCTTCCCTTTCTCAGTTGCAGAGAGGAGCTCCGTGGAGCATGGATAGGGGTGGTGGCTGGGCCGGGGGCAGGTCCCTGGACTCACTCAGGAGTGTGTTATTTCACTCACTTGGTTTTGGTACCCCTCAGCTGTCAGTGACAGCAACAAGGACCTTCGAGACTGAGGTACCCAGAAGACTGTTCCTATGCTCTTACTCTACCTCTAGGGAGTGGATGCACAGCCCTGGAAAGACAGCAGAGGTGACTGAGAGGCCCACACTCTGACCCTATTCCAGGCTGAGATAAGTCTCCAGGTTTTGTTTCTCTGTTGTCTCTCTGTCCCCTGCTTATCCACAGAGATGGCTTTTCTCTTTTTTTCACTCTTAGAAATTTATTTATTTTAGTGTGTGTGTGTGTGTGTGTGTGTGTGTGTCATGGAATGCCCTCCATCACTGTACCCTGTCTCTTGAGTCTCTCATTGACCTGGAGCTAGGCTAGAGTCCATCAGTGCTATGTGGGGAGCAGGAAATCTGGAGTGAAAGTACATTATTGACAGCTGCAGGGCCATGTCAAGCATCTCAGTGCCTCAGATCCTTCCCCTGCAGTGTGGATGTTGACAGTGTGTTAGTGTGTGCAGAGTGCATCCACTGATGCTTCCTCCTATCTGATGTTTACAGCCCAAGGCTGCTTTCCTTTAGAGACCTCCTACAGAGACTAGCTAACCCTCCTCCTCTTCCCCATGTTGTATATAGTAAAGGGACTGAGTTTCTGAGTTGAGTAGGGGCTCACCAGAGTGAGCACACCCACCAGCTCCCAGCTCTTCTGTATCTGTGTCATTTCTTCCCCCCTGTGTTACCCCAGTTAGGTTTCCAGGGCCAAGCCATTTGACAGTGCAGGCTACTAGTTTTGGGTCTCTATGTTCATTTTATCTGTTTGTATAGACAGACATTAACTATATGCACTCCCCCACCCTGTGCTCCATATATTCTCACCATCACTTACGAGCCACATGCACTAAGTTGTGGAAAGTCAAAGTGAAAGACCCTCAGGGAGGACCTTCCCTCAGAAGGAGACCCCTAGACCCAAGGAACAGTCCGAGACCACTGGCTGCAACCGGCAAGAGGTTTTTTTATTGAGAGTACACAGGTACCTGAGGGTGGCAGAGTCTATTCAGAAGACTTGCCAGAGTCTATTCAGAAGACTTGCGAGCCCTCAGGCTAGGCAGGAGGTCTTTTATATGGAAACGGGTGGCAGAAGCAGGCATACAGAAGCAGACGCATGGTTACAGGGATCCCATTGGTCCTTTCAAATGTGGCCAGGGGTTTACTTGAGGACAAACCCCCTGGCTCTTGGCTGGGGACACAAACATCTGATTATAGCTGACTAGGCTCTATCTAGGGCATATGGGGTCTTCCCCAGAACTCTTCGTTGCCCCCCTAGGCCAGATATCTGACCGCAGATATCCTGTTTGGCTGCCTAGGAGTACTGACCTTACCCTGAACTTTACTTGTTTGTTTTAAAGCCTTGCAAAATGGCGTTACAGCAGCTAAGCTGGGGTCTTTCAAAAGTATATTATTATTATTATTTTGTTTAAGACAGGGTTTCTCTGTGTCATCCTGGCTGTCCTGGAACTCACTCTGTAGACAGACTACCTTGAACTCACAGTCTACCTCTGCCTCCCTAGTGCTGGGGTTAAAGTTGTTAGCCACCACTACCCAGCTGTGAAAGTCTTATATGATAACCACTGAAAGAGTCACAGAAAATGTTAGCTTTCCATTTCATTCTTATTTTTGTCCCTGTGTTAAAAACTCAATACAAATGCTTACTTGCATGGAACTATTTTTTGACTTTTTTCTCCTCTGCTTAGCTGTGTCTTTCTGCAAAACCTAAAGTCCTCTACTGAAGTGATTCCAGCCTTTCAGAGCGACTCTGCACTTCTGAAAGCCATGGTAATGGACCCCACCCCTTCTCAGACTTGGCAGTTCTTGATCCTGTAGTTGAACGCTGTTTTGAACAGCAATTGCCCATTGTCAGTATAGGGTTAAATAAATTCTACAAATCTTTACTAAGCAACTATGATCTGATAGCTGCATATGGGACTTCACAGTGAACAGAAGACGCACCTAACACTACCTTTCCAAGTGACAGGACTGTAAGCTTGTGTGCCAACATACATAGCTGAGTTTTTATTATTGTCTTGCTTTATTTTTTGTAGTTCAAATGCAGGCAAGGACTCTGTAACTGACCTACATCGCTGACCTGTAGATGTGTTTCCTTAACAAAAGCAATGTGTAGCAAAATTGTAATCTAGATAATAGTTTGAACCCGACATTACTCAGGGATGCAAACTACCAACTGAGTAGTCACACACATGTCCTCACCTGGAGGTGGTAAGGCAGTAGACTATGGATGTCACTCCCCAGAAGAACTAAAGCTTGGCATGATGCCCCGTGCCTGCAAACAGGAACTCTGGAGACTGAGGCACAAGGCTAGCTATAAGTTTAAGGCCACCCTTAACTATGAGTCTCCTTATTAAAAATAACCAAACAGGGGAGGGAAATCAAAACAAAAGGAAAAACAACTTGGGTCAATTGACTAATGTCTTGTATTTGTAATTTTAAAATGACATTGAAGTCACTGAAGATGTAGCTCAACTGGCAAAATGTTAGCCCAGTATACACGAAGTCCTGTGTATCCTCAGCACTGATCGAACTGGATGTGGTAGAATACCTGGAGTCATAGCAGTGGGAGGTAGAGGCAGGGGGATCAGATGTTCAAAGTCCTGGTCAACACAACTAAGTTTGAGGCCAGTCTAAGTTAAACAAGTCTATGTTTGAAAAACAGAAACAAAAATAAAAAGCAAGACATTGAAGCCAGGTGTTATGATTCATGCATTTAATCCCAGCACTTGGGAAATAGAGGAGGATCACTGCAGCCTATGTCAAACCTTTTCTCAAAAAGAGAACACAAAAAACTGTGTGTGTGTGCATGCATACATAATAACTTTTCTCTACCCTAGTATGTGGTATTACATATGTAGTTGCTAGTAACCAAGGATGGAGCCCATATACAATGCTTTTTGCAGGACCATTCTTGTTCTAGACGCTACAATTTTGATTACCCCCATAGCAATCACCCATAGAGAGGATGTATATCCTATGCATGCACCATCTAGGAACACACTCTTGCAGACGTGTGAGATTAACTCTTTCATATCTGGAGCACTCTTCCTTCAGTCAGCACCGAGTGTAGGCTGTGTTTAGAAGATGTTGGGTTTTGATTGATTGTATTATCAATTTGGTTGATAATATTGATTATGTTATCAGTGATAACATAATATCCAATCTTGATTTAAGACCCAGTTTTGATTTAATAACGGATTCTCGTTCAAAGGACAGCACAGGGGAAAGCGATCATGGGGACCCAGCGGCAGTTCACTCCACCATAGCCGGTAAGCACTGGAAAGCAACATGGGATTGTGTGTGTTTGTACCTAGGGATTTAAAAGGAAAGTGTATTTGTGAATGTCCAGGGAGCTCTAGAGAGGAAAGAACAGACACGGAGAGTACTGTGGAGGAGAGCGTGTCAGCATTCCTGTGACATCTTGAGAATTAAGGACTAATGACACAGTCCTTGTGTCAGGTCCCAACCAGGCAGCGTTAAAGGTCTTAAGCAGCAAGCCGGTTTCCTGAGATCTTCAATGGGAAGTTGGAATGGCAGAGTATTCTTGATAAGCACACATTATGTCTAAGTCCCCAGGTCAAATAGAACACTTGGACACATGATCCCACATTCTGATGATATGAAAAGGTCTGAGAGGATCTAAAGGGAGATCATGGACATTGGAGGAAAGTCCTAATCTGTCCCTAGCAAACAGGCAGAACAATGTAACAGACACCACAGCTTTAGGATCGAGGGATTTGACTGCATCTCCTACAGGGTCTCCCTTCTTCCCTCCACAGATGATGCTCCAAGTGAAGCCCATGGAAGTGAATGTCCATCCAGTGGTTCCTCCCTTCTCTCCACAGACCTGGCTCACAGGGAAGCCCAGTGGTTTCAAGAGGCAAAGAGTCTGAGTGAGCAGCTGAGAGGAGCCTACACCAAAGCCACTTTCCGCCACATGGATTTGCCAGAGGTGTGTTCCAGCTTAGGCACTGACCACTTGCTTGGGTGTGATCTGTCCATCGTCTCAAAGCACATCAGCAGGCCAGTGCAAGAGGCCATGATGCTTCCTGAGGTCTTCACCAACTTCAGCTCTGTCATGTGTGTGGAGGGGGAGACCGGCAGTGGGAAGACAACCTTCCTGAAGAAAACAGCTTTCCTCTGGGCATCAGGATGCTGTCCCCTGCTGAACAGGTTCCAGCTGGTCTTCTACATCTCCCTGAGGTCCACCAGACCAGACCAGGGGCTGGCCGACATCATCAATGCCCAACTCCTAGAGGCAGGAGGATACGTTAGTGACGTGTGCCTGAGCAGCAGCATCCAGCAGCTAAGGCACCGGGTGCTGTTCCTGTTGGATGACTACCGTGGGATGGACTCACTGCCCCAAGCCATACAAACACTGATTACAAAAAACTACTTGTCACGAACCTGCCTATTGATCACTGTCCATACAAACAGGGCCAGGGCCATCCGCCCATACCTAGACACAATCCTAGAGATCCAAGAGTTTCCTTTCTATAATACTGTCTCTGTACTAAGGAAGTTCTGCTCACATGATATAACCCGTGTGGAAAAGTTAATGGTATACTTTGGAATGAATGTGGATTTGCAGGGAATTCACAAAACCCCCCTCTTCGTGGCAGCAGTCTGTACTGACTGGTTTAAAAATCCTTCTGACCAGTCCTTACATGATGTGGCAGTTTTCAAGTTCTATATGAAATACCTTTCCTCACAGCACAAGGCTACGCCTGAGCCTCTCAAGGCCACTGTGTCCTCGTGTGGTCAGCTGGCCTTGCGAGGGCTTTTCTCATCTTGCTTTGAGTTCAGTAGTGAGGACCTCACAGAAGCAGGAGTCGATGAAGATGAAGATCTGACCACCTGCCTGATGAGTAAATTCACAGCCCAGAGACTGAGCCCAGTCTATCGGTTCCTAAGTCCTTTGTTCCAAGAATTTCTTGCTGCCATGAGGCTGACTGAACTCCTGAGTTCAGAAAGAAAGGAAGACCAAGATCTGGGACTTGATTATTTGAGACAGATTAACTCACCCTTGAAGGCTATGGGTGTCTACAACAATTTTTTGAAGTATGTCTCCAGCCACCCTGCATCAAAGGCAGCGCCAATGGTTGTGTCTCACTTGCTTCAGTTGGTGGATGATAAAGAGTCGCTGGAGAACATGTCTAAAAATGAGCATTATGGGAAGCTCCACCAAAAAACTCTTCAGATGATGAAGTTAATTAAAGAAATGTGGCAGTTATCTCCTGAAGCTTTTTCCTCATTCATCTCAGAACATCTATTGAGCGTTGCTCTAAACATTGCTTATGAAAGCAACACTGTCGCTGCATGTTCTCCAATTATTTCACAGTTCCTTCGAGGGAGAACACTGGCTTTGAATGTCCTGAATTTCCAGTACTTTGAGGACAACCCAGAGAGCCTGCTACTGTTGAGGTGTGTAAACGTCTCCATAAATGGACATAAAATGCCACCAAGAGTCTTTAGTTACTCAGTCATGGAAAAATGTTTTGAATCATTACAGCTACCAACAGTAGATGAGGACTACGCTCCTGCCTTTGAACATATGAAGGAATGGGAGAAAAATTTAGCTGAAAATGAAGATAATGTGAGGAATTTCATGAACAGCCAACCTCTGCATCCACCCAACATCAGTGCTGGCTATTGGAAACTGTCACCCAAGCAGTACAAGATCCCTAGGCTGGAAGTTGCAGTGGCCAACATGGATCCCGCAGACCAAGCACTGCTCCAGTTCCTAATGGAAGTCTTCTCAGCATCACAGAATATCGAACTCCTTTTGAACCACAGCAATGGCTTTCTTGAAAGCATCCGCCCTGCTCTGGAGCTGCAGAAGTCCTCTGTCACCAAGTGCTCCATGTGTGGACTGGAGCTCAGCGCAGCAGAACAGGAGCTGCTTCTTACCCTGCCTGCCCTGCAGTCTCTTGAGGTCTCAGGAACAAACCAGTTACCAGGTAACCCTGAGTGTCACATACCCATTCTGGCTGGCACTGTGTTTTCTCGTTGTGAGTTTTAGATGAATGAAGCTTCTCAGGCACAAGGTCATAAATGTGTCTTGAGAGAAGAGATCTGATCACTTTCACTGTTCGGGGCAGTGTATAAATCAGTGAAAGGTCCTGAATCACAGGATGGGCTTGAAGTCACTCAGACAAAACTAGGAAAACATTACCATCCCTCTCGTCATCATTCCTCTCCCAAGGTTGTTAATAAGTTTGGATTGCTTGTTATCGGTAAATGATGGTCTGTGGGTAAGACAATAATGTAGAATCGTCTGCACCCTGGCTGCCTGAAGGAGGAGGGGATTTAGCTCTGCAGAGGATTTTTTTACACAAGTAAATATTTATGTCTTCTTCTAAGATGGCAGCAGGGATAAACTGTGTGCCGAACGATTCCTCAGAGAAGTGGAACGACCCTTTCACAAGGATCGGTCGCCTAAGATCATCAGACATCTCAGACCTTTGCATTACGGTCCATAACAGCAGCAAAATTACAGTTAGGAAGTAGCAATGAAAATAATTTTATGGTTGGAAGTCAGCACAACATGAAGAACTGATTTAAAGGGTTGCAGCATTAGGAAGGTCGAGAACCCCTGCTCTGAGCAATGTTTGATCTTTTTAATAGACTTTATAATGATTTTTTTATATATTGATTTTATTTTATCATTATTTTTTTTTGTGTGTATGTGTTCATGTGCATGTATGTGGATACCTCAGAGGCCAGAAGAGAATGGCAGATCCTTGGAGCTTTGGTTACAGGCTGTTGTGTGCTGCCTAATGTGGGTGCTAGGAACCTCACTGGGGTCCTCTGCAAAACAAGAGCTCTTGATTGCTGAGCCGTCTTTTCAGCTCCTGGACTTGACTTATCTCTCCTTCAGTTCATTTCCAAGTTTTTATACCACTGTAAATATTTGATTTGTAAATTTTGTAGTCGTTAGTCACAAAGCTTTGATCATCAGCAGCCTGCTATATGCTCTAGTATGCTTTGCTCTCTATCATCCTCTTTTTTCCTTTCTTTTAAGCATAAGTTCTCTATTGGATGTTTGGGAATTTCACAATATGCACCTCAACTTGCTTACCTCCCAGTCCTACCATTTGCCTGCCTCCAAAACAAACCTGTAGTTAGAATTTTGGGGGGGCCACCAACCAGCTCCCAAATAATGACACAGAGACTTATTAATTATGAATGCTCAGACTTAGCTTAGACTTGTCCCACTAGGTCTTGTAACTTGATTTAACCTGTTTCTATTCATCTACAATTTACCTGGGGCTTTAACCTTTCTTTCATTCTGTATGTTTTACTTTTCTGTTTCCTCTGTGTCTGACTGGCTGACCCCTTGTGTCTCCCAGGTTTTTCCCTTTGTTTCTTCCTCAAACTGAAATTCCTCCTCCTACTTACTCTTCCTGCCTGGAAATTCTGCCTAAATCACCTCCCTCTCTATTGGCCATTGAGCTTTTTACTAGACCAATCAGGTGCCTTAGGCAGGCAAGGTAAATTAGCAGTACAACTTTACATAGTTAAACCAATGCAACACATCTTTACATAGTTAAACAAATACTTTGCAACACAAACCAAACCAAAATAAATGAACCACAGAGAAAAACAAAAACAAAACAAAACAAAAACCAAAGAAAAAACCAAAACTACACCAAAAAACCCTCTTTACTCCTCCATCTTTCCCACCTCTCCAGTACTTCTTCATTTGTCCTGGTGGCATTGGGAGCCACGATGTCACCATTATATCCTTTTGTCCAATCAGCTTTACTTGCAAATGTTCATTGCTACGAGTCTGATCCAAGGCCTCTGGTTTCTGGTATACCATCACCACTGGTTCCTCACTAACAACTCCTCTCAGATATCCCGCAGCTGCCTTGAGTCATGGAGAGCCTGTGGTTATCACTACATAGGACCATTCCCTTCACAAGCTCCAGCAGGGGTAGATGTTAGGGTGGGCCAACCCTAGGTGAGTCTGGGTAGTAGTTGAGCCGGTCAGTCCAGGTGACCAGCTGGGAGTGACCACCTCAGGTGAGGAAAGGAGCCAGCTCCCCATGCCCATGCCATCAGGGTCAGCTCTCCCCTGCCTTACTTGAGTGCTGTGGCCATCTCTGCAGAGGCCAGCTCTCCCATGAGGGTTAAGCCAGCTTTCTTGCTGCAGCATCTGGTGAGGACAGCACCCGCTATCCCGGGGCCAGCAAAGGGCAAGGTCAGCTCAGCATGGCCCTGTGATTCCATCATGCATGATCCCAATGGCTCTATGAGGCTACATGGGCCACAGACATCAACACAGACCCAGACATGGTTCTCGGCAGGAGCTTGGGCCCGCACCACATCTGGGCTCTGGGTAGAAGCACAGGGCACTCAGTTCAGGATGGCTCTGGCGGTGGAATGGCTCCTGGACACCAACAAGGCCATAGGTTGCAGCCCTAACCCCAGGTTTTCATGTAACTTTGGTGGCAAAACACCCTGACTGTGGTGGGACCAGGGACCCAGACATGAATTTTGGCAGCAGCCTGGTCTTATTTATTTATTTTTAAAAATATTTCTTTATTTATTATGTATACAACATTTCTTCCATGTATGCTTGCATGCCAGAAGAGGGCACCAGATCTCATTACAGATGGCTGTGAGCCACCACATGGTTGCTGGGAATTGAACTCAGGACCTCTGGAAGAGCAGTTAGTGCTCTTAACCTCTGAGCCCCGGGCCACTCATTTTAGCATGGCCCCAGGGCATGTGTCGCCCTTGGACACAAGTTTGGCCCTAGATCTTGGGCATCCATGTGGCCTTTGATGGTAACAGGAACCTTGTACATCAACACTGACCTTAGCTGAAGTAGGGCCATGAACCTAGACATAGCCTCCAGCTGCAACCCTGGCCCAGATATTACCATGGCATCAGGTAGCAGCTCAGCCCACTCAGATCTGCCTGTCCCCAGCTGCAGCATGTCCCTCGGCCACTGACATGGACTCAGGTGGCTGACTGACCTCGGGCATTCACACGGTCCTTGGTGGCAATGTAGGCCACAGACTTCAACACAGACCCTTACTGTAGAAGGACCACTGACCCAGACATGGTCCTTAGCAGCAGCTCATGTCTGCATGTCACCATGACACTAGGTGCCAGCACAGACCACCCAGACTCACATGTTCCTGGTGGCAACTCATTCCTCAGACACAAACACCCGCCCAGACCCTGGAAATCTACATGGCCCTTGGTTGCAACAGGAGCCACAGACGTTGGCTCAGATATTAATTGGTATTAGATAACCAATTGACGTGTTCTTCTCTAGAGAAAACTATTTCTCCCATTACTGACATCCCTTAGTTTTCTGTAGTTCTTTGTGTAGGGTTGAAGCCTTATGAGTTTTCATTTAATTTGAGTACTATTTTCCATACTTTTACTCTATATCAATTCCTATCTTTAAAGCTGACTTACTGATAGGCAACAGGTAGATGAATTATTATGATAATGGATACTACTACTTTGATTTTTTGAGACAGGGTTACTCTGTGTAGCCCTGGCTCTCATGAACTCACTCTGTAGACAGGCTGGCCTTGAACTCACAAAGATCAGTCTGCCTCTGACTCCTGAGAGCTGGAATGAAAAGTGTTCACCACCACCGCCCTACAGGATTTTATTTCTTGACCCATTCAGTCAGCCTGCATCATTCGATTGGGGAATTGGGCCATTAAAAATTGAAGTGTGTGTTGAAGTTATTATCGAAGTGTTGTGTTGACCTCAGTCACTGTGTTGTTGTGTTCTGGTGTTGTTTGTGTTCTCAGTTGTACTTTGTAGTTTAGTAATTGTATCTTCAAGTTTCTTTCCATGTTCTTAGCTGTGCTCATCCCCGTCTTCTACCTGAAATTATTGCCTCCTTGTTCTTTTTAGGTCTAGTTTGTTGGTTATAATTTTTAGGGTGCTTATATCATGGAAAATGTTTTCCTACTCAACTACAGCAGATAGTTTTGTGCTGCAAGGAGCTGCTTGTTCGGTCCAGCCACCCAGAACCGAAATAATCACACAGAAACTATATGTTTTAAATCACTGGTTAGCCCATTAGCTCTAGCTTCTTATTGGCTAACTCTTACATTTTAATTTAACCCATTTCTATTAATCTGTATATTGCCATGTGGCAGTATCTTACCAGGTAATGTTCCCAGTGTCTGTCTCAGGTGGAGGATCCATGGTGTCTCTCTCTGACTCCACTCTTCCTTCTCCCAGCATTCAGTCCATTCCTCCCTGCCTACCTAAGTTCTGCCCTATCAGCAGACCAAGGCAGGGTTTTTTTTTTTTATTCAGTAATGCTACTCACAGCACACAGAGGAAAATCCCACATCAGTTTTGCTCACTAGTCTAGGTTGGATGTGGTTTTTTAAGACTTGGGAATCATTGCTCCAGGATCTTCTGCCATCTAAAACTTCCAATGAGAAATCAACTGTTATTCTTATGGGTCTACCTTTATATGTGACTTGTGTTTTTTCTCTTGATGCTTTCAATATAATCTCTTATTTTCTGTATATTTAACATTTTTTTTCATTTTTGTTTTATTTTTCGAGACAGGGTTTCTCTATGTAACAGTTCTGGTTGTCCTGGAACTCACTTTGTAGACCAGGCTGGTCTCAAACTCACAAAGATCTGCCTGACTCTGCCTCCCAGGTGCTGGGATTAAAGGTGTGCACCACCACCTCCTGGCTATGTATACTTAATGTTTTTTTAAATATTTATTTATTTATTTATTATGTATACAATAGTCTTTCTGTGTGTATGCCTACAGGCCAGAAGAGGGCACCAGACCTCATTACAGATGGTTGTGAGCCACCATGTGGTTGCTGGGAATTGAACTCAGGACCTTTGGAAGAGCAGGCAATGCTCTTAACCGCTGAGCCATCTCTCCAGTCCTATACTTAATGTTTTAATTATGTTATGCCATGAAGAGTTTCTTTTCTGGTTCTCTATATTTGGTGTTCTCTGTGATTCTTGCATCTTCTCTTAGCTGGGGAAGTTTCCTTCTGTGATCTTGTTGGAGAGCTGATCTATACCATTCACCTGGAATTCTTCTCTCTCCTCTGATCCTAAAATTAAAAAGGTTGGTCTTTTCTTGGTGTCCCACATTTCCTATATGTTTCTTTTCTGTTTTTATTTTCTCCACATATTCTTAGCTTCTTTCATCTAGATCTTTACTTCATCTTCAAACCATCAAATTATAAGTTCTGCTTGATTCATTTTACTTGTAAGTCTTTCCATTGAGTTTTCTAGTTCAGTTATTGTGTTTTTCAATTTCATATACATTTTAACTTGAGTTCTCATCAGTGTTCCTCTTTATTGAATTTTCTTTTTCTTTTTTTTTTTTTTGGTTTTTCGAGACAGGGTTTCTCCGTGGTTTTGGAGCCTGTGAATTTTATTTTTCAAATCCTGGATTATCCTCATTATTCTCTTAGCCTTATGTTTCTGTTTTCTTAGGTATCACTCAGGTGTTTATGCTCTTTCTTATTAAGATGACTGAGCTATGTCATTTTTAAGAGGTGACATCATAAAAAATATCATCTTTAAAACTTCTCAAATTCTCCATAAACTTCTTGGTGAAGTTTATAGTTGTTCTTCTAACTTCTGCGTCCTGGGGTTCATCCAGGACAATCTTATTGACAGACATTTCTACAGGATGGTAGATTTGGCAGTCGGAGACTACTGTCTTGATCTTTCAGTGTCCATATCTTTGCGATGAACTGTCTTTTGTTAGTTTTGTGTCTGATATAAATAGAGCAGGTAGGGAAAACGACAGGATGTGTGGATTGAATTGAGCCTGATGTTGGTTGGATATGGCTCATGTGGATCCAGGACTGGGTTGGTACGAAAGATGCTCTGTCTGGTCCAAGACTGGAGTTGGGAGTGTATGCAAGAGTTGGGGTAGGTGTGACGATGCGAGCATCAGGCAAACTCACCTAGCTAGAACCTCGAGGAGGATGTGTAGGGCCTGGCCTGATAGAGAGGTTGGATGTGGTGTGTGAGTGGCTTGAAGGTTGGGGGCAGGGAAGAAGGCAGAGTGGGTCACAGCATAAGCCTACATGTTGGTAGTGCCATAGGCAGGAGTGGCTAGACTAGGGCCACGATTTGGATGTGGAACCCAGGCTAGATCTAGGGTGTTGTGGGTGAGTGGAAGGGAGATGTCAGATTTATCTGGTACTTGACCTTGGAAAAAGATATGCAGCATAAAAAGGTTTGGTAGAGAGGTTCTGAGTTACATTTATATATATATTGGAGTCCAGCTGTATTCTTTTGCATGTGCAAAACCAGTTGGTCCCACACGGTTGGTTGGAGAGCTCTGTTATTTATTTTGTGAGTCCAGAGAGCAGCACAGGCATTCCCCTATATATGACCAGCAGATTCAGGATCTTCATGGATGTGCTTCTTAATGTTAAAATCTCTGAGAGGTCTTATGAAATGATCTAAAAATCAAAGCACAGTTGGAACTCCCACTTGGGACTCTTGAGTGATGGGAACTGCGTGCTGCTTTCCAGATCAACTCTTCAGTAACTTGGACAAGTTCCCAAACCTGAAAGAACTCTCTGTGAGACTAACTGGCAAACCAGATGTGCTTTCAGTCATCCCTGGAGATTTCCCAAGTCTCCACCACATGGAGAAGTTATGCATCGAAACTTCCACAGAGTCTGACATCTCCAAACTGGGTAAGGATGGTGCCTGGATCTCCCAAGGTCGTGTTTCAGCTGGAAAAGCTACTTAGCTAATAATTGTTAGAATCATTAAATCATCAGTAGCTAAAACATCTGTGGGCCATACAGCATGAACCATGTCCTGGGGAAGGTGTAGGAACAGCGCTCTTCCTCTTGAAGAGGGCAGACAATCATTTGTAACCTCAAGATCTTGACATGTCTGTGACTCTTCTGAGCTCTTCACAAATGCTAACTCACCCTTCATCCCCCCCAATGATTGTTGCTGGTTTTTAGCTGGGAAATTGAGGTCAGAGACAGCTCAGGTTTGTTCAGCTGAGAAAATGCTTCCTCAAAGGAAAAGATTTGAGTCCACGGCCTGAGCTTTAAACTCCCAACACACTTCCTCTCCATGGCAGTTTGTGGGGTTCTTTTCTTTTGCTGTTGTTTTAGTGGAATTGCAGATCTGCCTGCTGAGGGAGAAGGAAATCTGACATGGGGCCACCTAAACCTTTTCTCCATTTCCCTCCACCCCAGGCTTCTGTTGGTGGACAGCTGTACAGCCATCTTTCTAGAACATGGCATTTAGCAAGTGACTCAGGCACCATCAGATCCTTAATTTGGAAAACCCTGAACACTGAGTGCTAAAGAAATGTAAAAATGGGACCAGAGTGAGGCATGGTAGTTCATGCCTGTAGCCCCAGAATTTGGGAGGCTGAGGCAGGAGGATTATCACAACATCAAAGCCAGTTTATTTCTATAAATAAAGTTATTTCCAGTCTACCAGAGATACAATTTGAGACCTTATCTGAAAATAAACAAAAGAAACAAACAAAAATATTTTGTAGGTTGGGAAGATCGATCAGCAGAAAAGGTACTTGCTGCCAAGTCTGATGACCTCAACCCCAAGGATCCATATTGTGGAAGGAAGCAGCCAATTCTCCCACTTTCCCCTGAACTTTGCATATGTGCTGTGGCACATGGGTGACACCCCAAATACCGTATACACGTAGACAAATAAATAAGTTTACATATTTTTTAAGTTGTGCTTCAGAGTTGTCCTCTCTTTTTCATTCTTCTGTGAAGAATTCCTGCTCTGTCAGGGCAGTGTGCAAACACAGAGACATCAGGGTGCTGATGCTGCAGGTGAAATATGGAGAAGAGAAAACTGATCCAGAGAGGGCCAGGAACTTGCCCAGGTCATCTGCTCTCTAGTCAGCTACAGAAGCTGAGCACACGCCCACCGTGTCCTGAGCACTAGATCACTGCGTCACTGCCTGTTTAATTGGTGTGGCTGGGATATGGATTGAGAGGCCAGATTGGATATGAATTTGTAACCTTCTCTAATTTCTGAAACTCCTTCATCTTTTCCAGTTAAATTGATTCAGAACTCTCCAAATCTTCATGTTTTCCGTCTGAAAGATACTTTCTTTTTGGATTTTGAGTCTCTCATGACTGCGCTTGCCTCCTGCAAGAAACTCAGAGAGATTGAGTTTTCTGGACAACGCTTTGAAACCATGCCATTTGGTAAGAACGATACAGTGTTGACTTCAGGTACTCCTGTGTACAAAGTCATTAAATACTCTAGAGTTCAGATGCAACTGATGTCACAGAAACCATGATAGCACTGACTTCAGTGAGGCTTTCCCAGCAGTGAAGTGATCTGTGTCTACAATGTAAACATTCCCTGTGCCTAGTCATAGTAATTCAACCGGAATATCATATTACCTTCATCACTTTGAGATACTCTTATTTCCACAGTATTCCTCCATGTCGCAGAACATATCTGAACTAACTAAATTTATTTTCCCTTTCCTAGTCACTATTTTGCCAAAGTTTGTTTCACTGAAGATATTAAATCTTACATGTCAACAATTTCCAGATAAGGAAACATCAGAAAAGTTTGGTAAGTTTATAAAAGTGTTTCTTAATGTGTTCTTTATCCTCCTCTCCTCATCCTTCTTCAGTGAACCCACAACAAAGTGAGCTGTGTCCCCTGACATCCATGGCAGCTGGGTCCAGGACCTCTGCTGATGTAAGCACTAGAAGATCCTCCACTCTGTGGTATAAAATGGTGCAGTGTTTGCTCATGACTCCACATATCCTCCATATACATTAATCCATCTCTCGACTGCTTATAGTAGCTAATGCAATGTAAATGCTATATAAACAGGTGTTACTCTGTGTTGTTCTGGGAATAATGATGAGGGGGAAATGTCTGTACACATTGGCACAGACACAATTTTTCAAAATTGAATCAGTGGTTGGTGGAATCTGCTGATACAGAGGGTTCGCTGTATCAGCCATGCTGGTCCTTAGGAGGACACCATGGTGATGCTCAGTATCACCCCCAGATACCGTCACTGTGGGTCCCACACATGTCATGTCAAGTCTAACAACCAAAGTTAGATCCCTGGGGCTCACATGGTGGAAGGAGAGAAGCAGCCCCTGTAAATTGTTCTTTGACCCCACAATGCTCTGTGACATGTGGGTGCCAATCCACCAAACACAAGCCTTACATAAGTAAATGAATATAAACAGAAAAGGGATGGGGGAGGATGAATATCCCAGGGAAAGGCCACACCCCAGGGTGCACCAGACCCAGTCAGGAGGAGGCAAGTGTACAGATTTCTGTGCCAGTCTGAGAGCCGTCCCCATCTCATGAAGGTATGTCCTCCTTTTTAAAATTCATTGCCTTGTGTGGGCTGGAGAGATGGCTCAGTGGTTAAGAGCACTTAAGAGCACTGACTGAAATTCCAGAGGATCTGGGGGTTCAATTCCCAGCACCCATATAACATTTCGCAACTGTCTGTATCTCCAGGTCCAGGGGACCCAACACCTCACAGAGACATATATACAGGAAAACACCAATGCACATGAGATAAAAATAAAAGAAATAAATTTATTAACCAACCAGGCAGTCGTGGTGAATGCCTTTAATCCCAGTATTTGAGAGGCAATGGTAGGTGAATCTTTGTGAGTTTCAGGCCAGCCTGGTCTACAAAGAGAGTTCCAGGCTAGCCAGGGCTACACAGAGTTGGGGAAAGCCAAAGATTAATCTGGAATATTACTTCATGCCAGAAAGTCTTCTAATTAGTTTCTGTGAGGCCACAGAAGTAGAGACTCAGTGACCACGTGATCTACAGAGAATACGCTAAGGGGAATTGGATGAGGGGTGGAAGCTGTCAGAATAGTGGACCATGCTTTAGTGAGGAGGGTGGATGTCCTCAGAGTGATGGCAGGAGGCAGATGGCAGGGGAACAGGCTGAAGGCGCTGTGCAGCTAGGAGAGTGACCTGCAGTGGAGGCTGCAGTTAAGAAGAGAGAGCAGAAAAGGGGAGACAGCCTGGACTTGTGCTGAGAGACAGGTTAGGGAGGATGGAGGAGCCAGCTGCAGAGAGGCAGGAACAGCTGTGTGCTGACCCCTTCTCTTTTCCGTGGAGAGGAAGTGACCAGGAGGGTGGGGCTCCTAGACTGCAGATGTCCAGGTCATAGCTGCTCACGATGGGACAGCTGCTGAGGATGGCTTTGTGGTGTCTCCCTCAGCCCAGGCTCTGGGTTCTCTCAGGAACCTGGAGGAACTGCTCCTTCCCACTGGGGACGGGATCCAGCAAGTGGCCAGACTGATTGTCCAGCAGTGTCTGCAGCTTCAGTGTCTCCGAGTTCTTGCCTTTCACCACACCTTGGATGACGACAGTGTGATGGAAATCGGTGAGTTTCCCCCCGGGAAAGGGTTTCCCCTGTGTGGAAGCAGTGGCATCATTGGAGCTGTCTGCTGCAAATATCTAGGATGGGAAAGTCTTCTAAACTCTTCCTCATGTCCACAACCAGTGTTTCCTCTCGTGTCCTCCAGGCTCAGGTTCACCCTGATTGGACTGGCAAGGTTGACAACCTCTCTTTTTTGAGGGGGTATAGAAGCCTGTGGTTTACTTTCCTAGTGCTCGGAATTGAACTCAGTGACACACACACACACACACACACACACACACGACCAATAAATCTGTGTTCTGACACCTGGTGTTTCAGACACCTGGCAGATCCTCTGTTGGTCAACTAAATATTGATAATATGTAAACAAAGTGCAACACGCTGGAGCGTAGAACTGGATCAATTTTCCTGTTCACATTGCTGAAAATGTTATACAAGTGACTGTAGATCAGCCAGATGCTGACCCAGACCTGCACCCGTGCCCAGATGCTCAGTCCATGTTCATTCTCCACTGTGCCCTCCACTTCCTCTACAGATGACCCCTGCATTGCTCTTCTTCACCAGAGATTCATTTGCCATGAGACTTTTCATGTTAAGAGGATCCTATGCCATAGGCGCCCTCTGTGTTGTCTGAAAATGTGTCTGTGCTTTACATTCATAGTAACACATGTGACCAGAGTACGTTTATTTCACTGTGTGTCATTACTCCATTATCTGACCATGTCTGCACTCTATGTGTCCATTCAATGGACACTTGAGTAGTTCCTAGCGATGGTTTCTGTGGACTGTTTCTAAGAACATTCTCATACAATGTATGTATTTAGTCATTTCTAGGGGTGGAATTTCTGAGTTACCTCACATAGATTATTTATTTATTTATTTATTTTTTAAATTTATTTATTTATTAAGGATTTCTGCCTCGTCCCCACAACCGCTTCCCATTTCCCTCCCCCTCCCCCGATCAAGTCCCCCCCCCCCCCATCTGCTCGAAGAGCAATCAGGGTTCCCTGACCTGTGGGAAGCCCAAGGACTGCCCACCTCTATCCAGGTCTCGTCCAAAGACAAACACATAGGCATCCTCAGGAATATTAACCTTCATCAGGCGATGAAAGGAGACAGAGACAGAGACCCACACGGGAGCACCGGACAGAAATCTCAAGGTCCAAATCAGGAGCAGAAGGAGACGGAGCACGAGCAAGGAACTCAGGACATAGATTATTTAAAACCAAACTTTTGGTTAGATGTATCACATGCTTGTGATTCAACACTTGGGAGGCTCAAGAATTTCCTGGTTCAAGGTTAGGCTGGGTTCCATGAGACGTTGAGCACAAACAAATAATCAAAGGAGCAAAGATTTCTGTGGTATTGTGTCCATTTTCTCCCTCCACAGAGGTTGCTTCACATTCTGGGTGCAGAAGATCTTGTCCATTCCTTACATTCAATACTGATGATTCTTGTGGGTACAAAAACCCAAAGCTTTAGTTGAGGAGTGTTTTTCAGATTGACCAGCACCTGAAAGAAAAAGACAGAACTAGGAGAAAGAAATTTTGCCCCTTTTTGATGTGGATTTCAGAAAGCTAGGAAGACCCCACCAAACCTAATGGAGGCTTGGCTGGTAGACAATGCTCTAGGAATTCTGGGAAGAAAAGCTCGTTGTCTTAAGGTGAACCTATCCTCCTAAGTGTGGTCTCCTAGCCAGGTCCCTTACCTGCCCCACACGATTAACCCTCAAAGGAGGAGCTAAGAGCATTCTCCATCTGAGGTAGCTTCCATTCTTTCTGTCATAGTTGACCCCAGAGGGTGTGTCTAATTCTCAGGCTGTGGGGCTGGAGATTCAGCGCAGCAGTACTCATTTAGATTTTGTGAGGTCCTGAGTTCAATATCAACTACCACAAAAAGTCATTCAATCAACCAATCAGTTAATCAATTAAACTCTGCTACCTTGTCTACCTTCCTTCTAGTTCTAGTTTGTACTTCTGTCTCCAAGCTGGGAGCACAGCACATGCAGGGCTGTGAGATCTTCCTGGTAGACCAGCTCTTTACTTGTGATGGCGACTCCTGCCTTACTCTCATTCCTGTGTATTAGCATGGGTGTCCTGCATCCTTTTCATGTCTTTCTACTTCCTTTTACTTTTCCCCTATCTAGCCCTGACCATTGAAGGTATGTTTCCCGTACAGTTAGGTGGTTAGATTTTGAAAATCCAGTCCAGGCAGAAAGCAGTATTGTATTAGTTCAGTCCCAGCACTGGAGAGGAAGGCAGATCTCTGTGTGCTCCCAGGAATCATGGTAGCACTAATAATAAAACCCAGAGACAGATATTGGGGTTCTAACTGAAGATCAGAAAAGCAAAGATTCCAGCCACTGGCTCTTACTTCTACCTCAGAACAAAATGGGTGGTCCTGTCTCCATGAATCCTAGACAGAGACTGAGCCTGAGACCTGTCTCCTCCCATCTCACATTCCTCTCTAGTGCTGGGATTAAAGGCATGTACCACTGCCGCCAGCCTCTGTGGCTAACTAGTGTGCTGCTGGGACTAAAGGTGTGTGCCACTACTGCCTGGCCTGTATGGCTGACTAGTCTGTCTGCTTTGCCCTCTAATCTTCAGGCAAGTTTTATTCATCAAAACACAAGTAATATACCACTATATTTCCACTTTTGTCTGAAATAGAAAAGAAGGCTATAATTAATATAAGAAAGAGTATATACAAGAATTATAAAAACTTTATATAATAGATAGGCAATAAATATATCAGCAATGTCTAGTCCATTTGCATTTGATAAATTGAGAGAAAATACTCCATATGTATCCTATCTTGATAAGTCTAGAAGTTTGTACCTAATTCACTTTCTATTCAAATTTACACCATCGAATTATCTTTTATGTCTCTTAATCTTTTACACTTTACACCTCTCTGGTGAGATTGTTTTCTGAGTCTGGTAAGCAAGGAAAACTTTAATTATCTAGTCTTCAACTACCTCAGCGACCTGAAAAGGAAATACTATTAACTGAGTAAGCAGGAAGTGCAAGCAAGCGACTTCCAGAAAAATGTGAGAAATGGTAGAAACATATGGCTGTCTAGACAGTCACCCAGAGTTCCTCTGCAATATTGGGGCATCCATCTTTGGCCTACAGGCATAGAATATTCAACAGACTTTTCTGTGAAGCAGGATATTCTGAAGGGCTGTCTAGCCTTGTCTTGATAATATTTGGCTATCATTTTCTTTTATGCCCTGCTTGCATAGTTAGGACAGCATACCCTCAGCTGGTCAAGGTAAGGGCACTTTCTTGCCCAGTGACCTACTTTTGCACTAAGAAAATAAACTCTAGGGGCTGGAGAGCTGGCTCAGTGGTTAAGAGCACTGTCTGTTCTACCAGAAGTTCTGAGTTCAATTTCCAGCAACCACATGGTGACTCACAATCATCTATGGTGATATCTGATGCCTTCTTCTGGCCTTCAGGTGTCCATGCAGATACAACACCATATACATAAATAAAAAAAATAAATACTTAAAAAAAAAGAAAATAAGTAAACTCCATAGCTGGGTGGTGGTTGTGCACGCCTTTAATTCTAGTGCTCAAGAGGCAGAGACAGGCGAATCTCTGTGAGTTCAAGGCCAGCCTGATCTACAAGAGCTGGTTCCAGGACACACTTCCAAAGCTATAGAGAAACCTTGTCTCAACAAACAGAAAACAAACACCTTGTCTCAACAAACAGAAAACAAACAATCAAAAAAAGATAAAGTAAACTCCATGTGGAATTTCTTTGATGCCCATCATCTTCTCTGAAGTACATTGGTGCTGCCGGGAACAGGTGTATCTCATAATCATAAAAAAGAGTCTTTGTTATTAGAACAGTGTAAATGCCATAATCTGTAGATCTTTGAAGTGTTTGAAGATGACCTGTCTATCTAAAACATATTTTTGTTTGACCTTGAAAGCTTACCTAATGTGACTACAAGTTAAATTGTAATAGGCAATTACCTACTAAACTACATCTCCTTATTATCCTAAGCAGTTGGTAGTAATAATTTTCAAGGACTAGAAATTTGTATCACATTGTTAAATGACTTGTATATGTACAATACCACGGACAAGAATAGAAATGTATGTATAGTTCTAACAACTATAATACTATATTACTATACTACAACTATCAATGTATGTATGTATGTTCTAACAAAATTAATCTCAAATTTGTTTCAATATATATGGCACCTACATCACCTGGAACTGCGACTGGGCAAGGGTCTGGGGATTAAAAAACACACAGAGACACGGGTCACTCCTCAAACAAGAATGCTAATTTTATTGTGTCTCAGGGCAGCTTATATAGGGCTCTCCTTGACTAATGGCCACGCCCTAGCTCCCAGGATTTTTCAGCTGCAAGCCCACCAGAAACCACATCCCAGTTATCAGGAACTCATGAGGGTCTCTTGTTCAGAGCAGCTGCAAGCATAGGAAAACAAGTTGTTTACTCCAGCAGGCAAGGGGTTATAGAAAGTTCAGGGTCTTAGGGCCCATAGTCCCTGACAAATACACAAAATGTATATATATAGTCTACAAAAGTACAAGCCAATGTAAAACATTTAAAACTAGTAGTTGCTTTTAAGAGTAGATTCAATAATGTACCTTTTTATTTTATATCCACATCTTCCCTTTTTTCTTTTTAGAGTAGATTCAGTAGCCTACTTGTTTATTCTATCATATCTATATCCACCTTTTCTCTTTAAAGCAAGAACTTTGAATCTAATTTCCTTTTTTCAACTTTTTTTCCTGACCTTTACCAATAACAACTTGTAGCCAGTTTCCCTAAACAATGAAAAATATCCATAACCTAATAAAAGACCAAAAACTACCCACACCACCTCTTGGGAATCTGGGCATGGTGTTTTTAAATTTACTTCCTGCTGTCTGGGGGCAAGGGCATCTTTAGGGGATCCTGAAAAGAAAAATTTGGGATAATTGTCAAGTCCTGGAAGAGATAGTTGTAACATTTGTTGTCCAGTCCCTGCATAATGGGAAAGTGCAGGGTGTCTCAAGTCCTGGCTAGAGTAGTGTGTGAGGCTGGATCATCTCAGCTAGCCACGTTGAAATTGTTCTGAGCACAGTTTGTAGTCCAAAGCTGATCTTTAGGTGGTGTTTTTCAACTTAGCAGTGTTATCATAGTCCTGGAGGAATCATCGTTGTGGGGCCCCATCCTCATTTGGAGACTTCAAAGGTCACTGTTAGGTGTGGTCATGGTTCACTGCAGAAAACTGATAGAGACTCATCTGAAGTCAAGCAGAGGAAGCTAAATGAAGCCTTTTTCTAGAGTTAGTTAGTCCTCTACATAACTGTTAACATCATGACAAAAACTTTAAGTACCTATATACTAATCTTATAAATATTGAGATAATATTTATGCCTAAAAAAGCTGTTAAAAATTCAAAATCAAACCAAAATATTATGAGATTAGTGGTAATAAAATAGTTCTTAATTTTTTTCTGTCCCATATTAACAACCTGATCTACACAGCAAGTTCCAGGATATCCAAGGCAGCATAGTGAGACCCTGTCTGAAATGAAAACAAAATAATTTAGCCTGGCGTGCAAGTGATTATGTCTGGAATCCCAGTTCTGGGGAGGCTGAGGAAAAAGACCAAGAGTTCAAAGTCACCCTGGCTGCAAGACACCCTGTGTACAAAATAACCACTGGGGGAGGGTGTGTGTGTGTGTGTGTGTGTGTGTGTGTGTGTGTGTGTTGGACTTAAGACCTTTTCATAAAAGCTGCATTTTTCTCTCCTTAAGATTTGTACAACATTAAGCCGGGCAGTGGAGGAACACACCTTTAATCCCAGCACTCGGGAGGCAGAGGCAGGCAGATCTCTGTGAGTTTGAGGCCAGCCTGGTCTACAAGAGCTAGTTCCAGGACAGGTTCTAAAGTTACAGAGAAACCCTGTCTTGAAAAAACAAACAAACAAATAAACAAACAAACAGATTTGCACAACATTGGATTTTATAGCTTCTTTCATCACTGTTTAATATAAATTGCTATTTTTTAAAGATTTATTTTATTTATTATGTATACAGTGTTCTGTTTGTCTGTATGCTTGCTGGCCAGATGAGGACATCAGATATCATTACAGATGGCTGTGAGCCACCATGTGGTTGCTGGGAATTGAACTCAGAACCTCTGGAAGAACAATCAGTGCTCTTAACTCTGAGCCATCTCTCCAGCCCCTAAATTGCTATTTTTTAAAATCTTTTTTCCAGTATGTTATGTCAAAACCTTTGTAGCAATTGAATCTCACATAGATTTGGGAATCAATAATTCCTTTCCCTCCCAGAACCCAGCACTGGTTGCCTGGCACACATGGTAGGAAGTCAATAAGTATCTGTTTAACCTAATATGAAACACTTAATTTTTGGAGCTGGACATATGGTTCAGCAGTTAAGAGCTCTGACTGATCTTCTGGAGGACTTGGGTTTGATTCTCAGCACCCATGCAGCTGCTGCTCACAGCCACCTGTAACTCCAGCTCCAGGGATCTGTCGCCCTCTTCTGACCTCTGAGGACAATAGGCATGTCGTGGTGCCCTTAACATGGGCTACAGGCAAAATATCCATAAACATAAAATTAGAAATTATTTTTGAGACAGATTTTTCTCTGTAACTTTGGTTATCCTGGTACTCTCTTTGTAGACTAGGCTAACCTTAAACTCACAGAGATCTGCTTGCTTCTGCCTCCTGAGTGCTGGGATTAACGTATACACTACCATCCCTAGAGATAATTTTTTTTTAAAAAAAATGCTTACCTTAATAAGACTCTTAAAACCATTGTTTATTTGTTTGCTTGTTTGTTTCCCTATTGAGACAGGAGGTAGGGAGGGAAAGGGAGAGAGAGGGAGGGAGGGAGGGAGAGAGAGAGAGAGAGAGAGAGAGAGAGAGAGAGAGAGAGAGAGAGAGAATGTGCTGTGGCAGGTATATAGAGGTCAGATTTCTTGGTTCTACAGATCAAACTCAGGTCATCAGTTTGCCCAGAAGGTGCTTTACCTGCTGATCATCTCACTGTGGCAACGGTGTCCATCTTTTGAGGGACAGCTGACAGGTTACTCCTGGACAGTGTTTAAATTCACAGCTAGGAGACATCACTTACACACCATAGAATCAGATAAGTGTACAGTGCAATATGGAGAATAAAGGAAACCAGGGGACAACAGGCCATGGATGGGGGCGGCCCGAGCTTTCCTCTAGTCCTTCTGGAAGAGTCTTCATTCAGGGAGTGGGGAATAACTCCTGACTACCACAGAAGATCCCTATTCATGACACAATGGAAACACTTTCTCAGGGCCTATGTCTTCAAATCAAGCTCCCACATGATTCTGGGTGAAGTCTTTCCTAACCTTCCTTTATTAGGGGGAAGTGGGTAGCAGCTGGACTAGATCTTCACTCCAGAGGCTCAGATTCATGGCAACTGAGAACTCACCATGTGTCTGGTTCCATTTCCTTCAGAGCTCGTGCTCTCAGTAACCAGGGAGTCCCTTCTGGGCATTGGTGGAAGGCATGGAAGTAGCCAGTGAGAAGACAGCTTTTAGGATTGTCACCTTCCCTGCTCTGCAGAAAGGGAGACACTGTTGGCATAATTTCTCAGTCCCCTATGCTGTAACCTGTTCAATAGCCGTGCCCTGCCCTGACCTATGTCCTCTGTGAGACCAGAAGAGAAGCGCATATTGCCCTGACCTATGTCCTCTGTGAGACCAGAAGAGAAGCCTGCATTGCCCTGACAGCCAAAGCTCTGTGCTCAGCTTCCCGAGCTCTGCTTCCTCCAAACTGCTTGTGGTTTGACCGGGTGGTTCCCTGTCAACCAAGCAGCTCTTTAGTGCTGTCTAAGAACAGTCTCTAAGACATTGTGTTCAGAATGTCCCACTTTCGTCGTCGTGGTGTGGGAATGGTACCAATAACGTGTCACCATTATTGAAGTCCTTAGGATTTTGTTTTCATGAATGTTGTTTTCCAGCCAAGGGAGCGACCAGCGGAGCTTTCCAGAAACTTGAGAACTTAAATCTTTCAATGAATCACAAGATCACAGAGGAAGGGTACAGAAATTTCTTTCAAACCCTGAACAACCTGCCAAACTTGAAAGTTCTGAGCATCTGCAGGAGTCTCCCAGAACGCATCCAAGTTCAGGCCACCACTGTCAAGGCTCTGAGTCAGTGTGTGTCCCGACTGCCCAGCCTCACCAGGCTGGAGATGCTCAGTTGGCTCCTGGATAAAGAGGATCTGAGGGTGATTAATGCTGTGAAGGAAAGGCACCCTCAGTCCAAACGCTTGATTGTCCTCTGGAAATGGATAGTGCCCTTCTCTCCTGTCATCCAGAAGTAGCAGATGGAGCTGAAGGCTACTGGCAGTTCTAAATACCTAATTTCCTAATACATTTTACTCTTGTTGAGTATGGTGGTACACACCTGTACTATCATCTGATGTGGGATTCCCCTCTGTATGCTGTGAATATGTTTTATTACCATTGGTTAATAAAGAAGCTGCTTCCAGCCTATTGCAGTGCAGAATAGAGCAAGGCAGGAACTCTAAGCAGAGATAGAGGAGAAAAGAAGGCAGAGTCAGAGAGACACCATATAGCTGCAGAAGGAAACAGATGCCTAGGAACCTTACTAGGAAAACTACAGTCCCTGTAGTAAAATACAAAATAATGGAAATGGGTTAATTTCAGATATAAGAGCCAGCTAGCAATATGCTTAAGTGATTGGCTAAGCAGTGCTGTAATTAATATAGTTTCTGTGCGATTATTTTGGGTCTGGGTGGCCAGGAATGAACAGCCTCCACCTACTTTCACTTTTTGGGAGACTGAGGTGGGAGAATCAAGAGATTCAGGCCAGCCTTGGTTATACAGGAAGATCCTGTCTCAAATCCAAAGGCATAACTATCATATTAAATGTTATTCATTAGATGTGTAGGCTGATATTTTTTTAAAGCTTCATACTCATCACTGAACATATGATGCACTATGATGCGCAGTCCTTGCATGGTCCTCCTGTCTATTGAAAGTCTGAGGGCCCCACTGAGCTATGACAAGCAGACCTTGGCAATCCTTGTATAGTCCTCCTGTCTAAAGACTAGAGCTAGTCAAGTTCATTCCTAGAATTGTACATTGTCAAGGTCAACAAGAAAGGATGGGGAAAGGAACATGATCTGTGTAAAAGTCACTATGTGGATGGAGTATTTGATGGAGGTAAGGAATGTCCAGTTTAAGGATGAGTCAGTCCCACACACGATGAAGCACAAGACGACTCTTTTCAGAGATGCTCTTCACTCTTCTCAGGGCTTCTGTGCACTCACCAGCCTCGGTGTGGCCTTGCTTGCTCACACCATCTCTCATCCATGGCCAACGTGAGGATGACTTTGGACCTAGAGAAAACTGCGTTTGTTCCAGAGACTTTTGAGTGTTTTGCATGTACTGTAGTGGCCTTAAGTTTTTCTTTCTTTTTTCTTTTTGTTGTTTTGAGACAGGGTTTCACTATGTAACTTTCAATGACATGGAACTGAATACATAGACCAGGTCTACCTGGAACTCACAGAACTCTGCCTGTCTTTGCTTCCTGAATATTGGGATTTTTAAAACAATAGTTATAAATACATTAAGGATTTCATGGGTCTGTTAACTTGACTATGATAGTGATTTATCATTTTATGTTTATAAGAATCTCATGTCTATACTTGCATTGGTTCAACTTAAATACCATGTGCTTTTAATTTATCTGTTATAGCTCAATAAACCTGGACAAATATTATTTACAAACAGCTTTATATATTTTTAAAGCTTTGGTTATATCTGGGTAGTGATTTGGGAAGTATTCTTACTTTTAATTCTACCCATTTCTGTGCTATTATTATTTTACAATTCAATGTGTTATTTTCATGCTTAAAATAAAAATTTGGGACTTGAGAGATGGCTGGGTGGTTAAGAAGACTTGTTGTTTTCACAGAGGACTTGTATTTGTCTCCCAGCTCTCCAGACAGCCTAACTCTATAGAAACAGCCCTAGATAGCCTATCTATATAGGAACATGTATATTGTCTTGTTTATTATCTGATTTGACAGTTGATACGTTTGTAGTCAGAAATGTTTAGACATTACATCATAGTCCAGTGAGAAGACAGAAATGGCAGGTAATTCTTTCCAGGTGGCAAGGTGAAGTTATGCTCGACAATAAGCTGTATAAGCAGTGCTTTCACTAATGAGATCGACAAATCAGTAATTAATAATTAATATTCTGTTATTCTACTTCATTGCTAGTAACTCTGATGGCGCTCACTACTGACCTCTAGGAACCACTTGTGTCATCTGCTCTTAGAGCATCACTCCTGGTTCCCTCCTCAGAGAGCTCCTATTCAGCCCTATGCTGTTTTTCTTCAATCTACTAGGAGAATCTGAGTTCTCCTGACTCTGTGTAAGTGCACTTCCTGGGAGACCTCCTCAAGCTGAGTGGCTTTAAGTTCCATGCCTGCACTACCTCCTCTATCTCCAGCTCTAGTCCTGAACTCTACCATATAACCCTATTAGGCATCACAGATTTCACATATGCAAAGCTAACCCTAACCTTCCCCTTCACTGCAGTACTCTCATTGTGCACTTCCATCTTTGAAACTCCCTCTTGACTCCTCGTGTTGCTTAGGGAAACCCTTGAACTTGTCCTTAGCTTTTCTCTTTCTTAGTCCATATCTAAGCTAGTGACAAATCCTGGCAATTACTTGCAAAATAATCTGATCTATCAGGGCAGTGATGTCTCACACCTTTAATTCCAGCCCTTGGGAGGCAGAGACAAGTGTCCATTTGTGTATTAGAGGCCAGCCTGGTCTACATGGTGAGCTCCATACTAGCCAAGACTACATAGTGAGACCCTGTCTCCAAAACAAACGAACACCCAGCAGATTCTGTCTGGTTGACCTGCCTCCTTTTCTGAAAGCAGTGGCGTATTTTCACCATGCTGTCAAATGCTCCACTTTTGAAGTCAGATCATGTTCTCCCTCTGCCTTACTATTCTTCACTGGAAGCTCAGCTTAAAGTAAACGCTGTCAGCTCAACAGTGGGCTACATAAGGCCTGAACCTTGACCTTCCTTTGTGCTGTCTCCTTAATTTATCCTCTTAGCCTAAATACACTGGCTTCCTTGTTCTTCCTGAATATTCCATATATATTCTTGTCCAATGATTTTTGTAGCGGTCCTCTCCCTTTCTTAGAAATTTCTCCCTTGCTATATTTAGATACAGTTTGTGTTCCCCACAGGTTCATGTGTTGACATGTAATGCCATTATGAGATTCTAGGAGTGGGAACTTAATCTATTGTGTTTAGAGGTGGACCTTTTGGAAGGTTATTAGGAAAATACCATTAGGGTAAATGAATATCAGTGGCTTGCTAAAACATACCAAACACACACACACACACACACACACACACACACACACACACACCTGCCTTGTTTCTATGAGATAGAATCTTTGTCTGAATCTGGAGTTCTCTCTCTCTCTGACTGTTCCAGTCCCAAGTTCTCGTGACACATACATGTGATCACATCTAACTTCTTATGTGGGTGCTGGGGATCTGGACTCTAGTCCTCATGCTTGTGCAACAAGAATTTTGCCCACTGTGCCAACTTCTGAGAGTCCCCTATTTTCTTTAGAAACCATCAAGTGTCCTTAATGCTTTCACCTCTCAGATTGAGACAGCCTCTGGTCATCTAATGAAGTCTCAATTGTGGGATTTGTAGACAGAAGCTTCTGTCCTGCCTGGTCCCGCAGCCATTTAGTCCCAAAGAAACACCCCGAGGCTTATATTGATTACAAACTGTTTGTACTGTTAGTTCAGGCTTATTTTATTAACTAGATCTTAAAACTTAAATTAACCCATAATTCTTTTCTATGTTTAGCCATGTGGCTTGGTACCTTTTCTCAGTAAGGCATTCTCATCTTGCTTCCTCTGCATCTGACTGGTGACTGACTCTCTGCCTTTCCTCTTCCCAGAATTCTCCTAATCTAATGTCCCCACCTATACTTCCTGCCTGACTACTGGCCAATCAATGTTTTATTAAACCAATATGAGTAACAAATCTTCACAGTGTACAAGTGCTTTATCCCACAGCAGGATTGGCTTGTGTCCATGTCTGTGAGAAATTTTCTTGGTTTGTGATTGATGTGTGTGGCAGTTTGATGTAATTGACGCCCATAGGGAGTGGCTCTATTAGAAGGTGTGACTTTGTTATAATAGGTATGGAGTTGTTGGAAGAAGTCTGTCACTGTGCATTAGGTTTTGAGGTCTCATATGAACAGTGTCCCAATTCACTTTCTGTTGTCCTCGATCAAGATGTAGAACTCTTAGCTTTTTCTCCAGCTCTATGTCTGCCTGCATACCACCATGTCCCACCATGATGATAATGGTCTGAACCTCTGAATTGTAAGTAAGCAAATCCCTCAAATTAAATGTTTTTCCTTATAAGAGCTTCTATGGTCATGGTGTCTCTTCGCAGCTATAGAAATCCTAACCAAGACAATGTGGGAGCTCCTATCTTAGTATGGGTGGTACCACCCTTAGGCAGGTGGGCCATTGCTGCATAAAAAGTCAGCTAAGCATGAGCCAGAAGGGGAACAAGCTAGTAAATAGCATTCCTCCATGGTCCATGCTTCAGTTTCTGCCAGGCTCCTACTTTGAGTTCCTTGACTTCCCTCAGTGATGGATTGTTATATGGAACGGTAAACTGAAATATATAAACCCTTTCCCTCCCTAAATTCCTTTTAGTTATAGGGTTTATTACTGCAACAATAAAAAAACAAACTAGAACAGAACTTGGTTGGGGTGGAATCTTGATGTGATGGACTTGGCCATGTGGCTTTTTACAACTTTGGACTATGCTGCCAGAATATTTTTTTATTTATTCTTTTCAATTGAGTTATACATTTTCCCCTACTCCTCTTCATTCCTCTCCTCTCCCCTTCCCCCTGCTCCCACAGTCCCAATTTACTCGGGAGATCTTGTCTTTTTCTTCTTCCTTGGTGGATCCATTTTTGCCCCTTCTAGGGTCTTTTTGGTTGTCTAGATTCTCTGGGGTGGTGGATTGTAGGCTGGTTATTCTTTGCTATGTGTGAAGCCATTTATGAGTGAGTACATATTATATTTGTCTTTCTGAGTCTGGGTTACCTCACTCAGTATTTTTTTTTTTTTTTAGTTCTGTTCCTTTGCCTGCAAATTTCAAGGTATTTTTTTTTTTATCACTCAGTAGTTAGTACTTTATTTTATAAATTTACCACATTTTCCTTATTCATTCTTCAGTTGAGGGACATCTGGGTTGTTTCCAGGTTCTGGTTATTACGAATAATGCTGTTATGAACATAGTTGAGCAAATGTCCTTTTGGTGTGATTGAGCATCCTTTGGGTATATTTCCAAAAGTGGTATTGCTAAGTCTTGAAGTAGATTGATTCCTAAGTTTTTGAGAAATCACCAAACTGATTCCCACAGCGATTATACAAGTTTGCGATCTCACCAGCAGTGGAGGAGTGTTCTCTTTACTCCACATCCTCTCCAGCATAAGCTGACATCGGTGTTTGTGGTTTTTGGCCATTCTTACAGATGTAAAATGGTAAGATGATATTTGCATTTCTCTGATGGCTAAGGATGTTGAGCATTTCCTTAAATGTCTTTTGGCCATTTGAGATTCCTCAGTTGAGAGTTCTCTGTTTAGATATATATTCTATTTTTTGTTAGATTATTAGTTCTTTTGATGTCTAGTTTCTTGAGTTCTTTGTATATTTTAGAAATCAGTTATTTATCAGATGTATTGAGGAAGATCTTTTCCCATTCTGTAGGCTGCTGTTTTGTCTTGTTGACTGTGTCCTTTGTTTTACAGAAGCTTCTCAGTTTCAGGAAGTCCATTTATTAATTGTTTATCTCAGTGTCTGTGCTACTGGAATTATATTTAGGAAGTGATCTCCTGTGACAATGTCTTCAAGGCCACTTTCTTTCTCTTCTGTAAGGTTCAGTGTGGTTGGTTTTATGTTGAGGTCTTTGATCCATTTGGACTTGAGTTTTGTGCATGACAATAGATATGGATCTATTTGCATTCTTCTACATGTTGACATCCAGTTATGCCAACACCATTTGTTGAAGATGCTTTCTTTTTTCCATTTTATAATTTTAATTGAAAAATCATATGTTCATAGGTCTGTGGACTGATATCTGGGTCTTCAATTTGATTACATTGGTCATCCTGTCTGTTTTTATGCCAATACCAAACTGTTTTCATTACTATAGCTTTATAGTAGAGTTTGATGTCAGGGATAGTGATGCCTCCAGAAGTTTCTTTATTGTACTGGATTCTTTTGGCTATCCTGAGTTTTTTTGGTTTTCTATATGAAATTGAGTAATATTCTTTCAAGGTCTGCAAAGAATTTTGCTGGGATTTTGATGGGTATTGCAATGAATCTGTAGATTGCTTTTGATAAGATTGCCATTTTTACTGTGTTAATTATACATATCCAAGAGATGGGAGATCTTTCCATTTTCTGATTCTTTTCTTTGATTTCTTTCTTCAAAGATTTAGAGTTCTTGTCATACAGGTCTTTCATTTGTTTGGTTAGAGTTACACCCTGATGTGGGAGTGTCATATATCAATCTGTTGATTTCATTGGTTAAGTAATAAACAAACTGCTTAGGCTCATAGCTTAGAACATAGGTGGGTGGAGTAAACAGAACAGAATGTTGGGAGGAAGAGGAAGTGAGCTCAGACTCGCAGCTCTGCTCTCAGGAGCAGAGAGGCCATGCTCCGCTCTTCCGGGAAGACGCATAGCTCTGCTCTCTGAGGCAGATACACGCAATGAAGCTCCAACCCAAGATGGATGTAGGCTAGAATCTTCCCCGTAAGCGCACCTAGCTGTG